TGTTGAAATGTCCATTAGATCATCCTGTAGGTTGTCATATTGTACAATTTTCCTGTTTAGTTGTTTTGATGTGCTGGCGGCTGTGATAAGTGCGTGTTCTGTTTGTAATGGGATTGGTTGTAGAGTTGAGGTTCGATAGGACTGTTTTGTGCAGTTGGTGGATTGTGCAGCTTTGGACGAAGTTGATGTTTGGTCATTATGTGCTGTGTTTCGTATTTGGCTGCTATTAATTGGTTGACTTTGTAGATTTGTTAAGCTGGGATTGGACTGCTTAGTGTATTTGGTGGGTTCATTGTTAGTTGGTTGATTTTGTGTATTTGTTTTGGATGGTTCTTGTTGTAGGATGTTTGCAAATGTTGTATGTAGATCTGGGTTATGCCTTTGGTTGTAAATGTTTTTTGCTGTTTTGTAGTCAACGTTATTGTTGGTTTTTATAGCGGTTATTTCCAGTTGTTTTTTGTATTCTGGGCATTGTTTACTGAGTGGGCTGTGATCGTTTTGAATATCGGGGTTGAATTTGCAGTTTATGCAGCTTTTAATCTTGGTGCATGGTTCGTTTTCTGTAGTGTGCTTTTCTTGCGAACAATTATAGCAAGTTTCGGTGCTTTTGCAGACCGTTTTTGGGTGACCGAAACGAAGGCAGTTTTTGCATCGAAGTGGGGGAGGGACGAAGGGCCTTACATGAACTTTTTCGTATGCTTTTCTGGCAGCTGGTGTGTGGCGAACGTAATGATAATAAGCCCCGTTTCTACTAGTTTGTCTTCCTGCTTTTTGAGTATTTTGCGGACTTCGGTGACTTTTTGCGGCTTTAGTTCTGAGAGTATTTCGCTCTCTTCTATGAATCGTAGTTCGTTAGAGTATGTTGGCGTGGGGCGTTGGGGATGAATGTCCAAAACCGCAAGGGAAGCAAAATGGCGTCTGATTTTCTTTTCAATATGACGTGACTCGCACGTATGTATATTCTCTTCACTTGTATGACAATTCGAATACTGACTTAACCTAATTGCAGTGGCGCTTAGCTGTGCATATGAAAGAGGGAGAGGCCGCCGACGCTAGCAGCGCTCTGCCAGCAGATGTTGCTGGCAAGCGTTGCCATGTCAACACTGGCAGAGTGCTGCCACATCAACAGAGTAGATGACACCTTTGGTTGAATTTAGTGTTTTATGTTCAGTTGCTGCACTAACCATACAACATATAGATGCGTCATTTCATACAATGAAAACGTCCCATCGAAATTGTTAGCGACAGCTCCCATAGCTGTTCGGGTATTTGCCGAATGGGAGCTGTCGCACTTCGGCTAAGAGCCGACTGGGAGCTGTCGCATTCGTGCTCTCTGTGAGCGAATTTCATTTCATTCGCAGAGAGGCAGTCTACAGAGACGGTTGGTTCACGCCGCTTATGCTCTTTGTATGTGTGCGTGCACATATATACATGTATATGTTTATATGTATTTGTGCATTTGGTCTTTTGCTGTTTGCGAGCAGCAGCTTCAATTTCGTTTTCAGATTTACCTGCTACATGGGCATCAGAATTTCATACACTGTTGCCATATTTCTGCCGCATTGTATTTTGGATGCGTATGCAAGTGAAGTTTGTCAATAGTGCCAATAGTAGTGGGTTTCTCCCAATGCCTATAAAAGCACACATACATACAACTACATACATATGTATGTATGTGTGCAAATGTTGTGTTCATATGCAGACACTTCGTATATGAACGCGTGGCAGTAGCCTTGACATTGTCATGATCTGCCTCAACTTATATTTATGCACAAGCAATTTTGTTGATAGACTATTTCTTATTTTTGTTTGACTTGCATATTAATTAAAAAATATTTGGTAAAAATGTCAGTTGGCATTTAAATCAAATTAATTCAAAAATATTAGTTTAAAAATATTTTATTTTATTTATGTTCTTGGTAAAAATGTCAATTAGCCGATATTTAACATGAAAATAAGTACATTTAAGGGTCGCAAAATGTGGTCAAATTAGTAAAACAAGTGTAATTAAATAAATAAAAATACATATATGTTTATATGTATGTATGTACATCTTTTGATAATTTAATATATATTGTTTTTTTTAATTCGCCGCTCAAATTTGTTACCGATCTAATATTGTATATGAGCAAACATATTACATCGGTATCCAGGGAACACCACGTGGAGGCCATCAACATTTTAATGGGGTCGTAAATTAATAGGACCTTTGAGTCGACTTGAAATGACTTAATTTCAAAAATGCATAACATTTTAATTACTATTTATAAGTGTTTGAAATTAAGTCAAATCCATGTTCCCCACTTAATATTACCTTATTTAGTGTATTAACTAACATGTAAATATTTAATATTTGCTATTATTTAAACATAAAGTAAGAAAAAATTCTACTGCTTAATTATTTTTAATTTATTTAAAGCTACCCTGGAGTTCTTACTACCAGAAATCCCATCTGTTATCCATTTAAAATTTTTCTAATTAAAATCAAAATGAACTCATTAAGCAATTGATTTCTGTGATTATAACACGGACCAGACTCTGAAAACCAGCATGCGTATTTATCTAACTTTGATGTAATGAATACGCATTTTTGAACTATTGTTTTCTTTAAATGTACTTATTTTCATATTAAATATCGGCCAATTGCCAACCGACATTTTTAAAATAATATATTTTTAAACTAAATATATTATATTAAAATAATATATTTTTAAACTAAATATATTATATTAAAATAATATATTTTTAAACTAATATTTTTGAATTAATTTGATTTAAATGCCAACTGACATTTTTACCAAATATTTTGTAATTAATATGCAAGTCAAACAAAAATAAGAAATAGTCTATCAATAAAATTGCTTGCGCATAAATATAAGTTGAGGCAGGTCATGACAATGTCAAGGCTACTGCCACGCGTTCATATATGAAGTGTCTGCATATGAACACAACATTGGCACACATACATATGTATGTAATTGTATGTATGTGTGCTTTTATAGGCGTTATGAGAAACCCATACACTACTGACAAACTTCACTTGCATACGCATCCAAAATACAATGCGACAGAAATATGGCAACAGTGTATGAAATTCTGATGCCCATGTAGCAGGTAAATCTGAAAACGAAATTGAAGCTGCTGCTCGCAAACAGCAAAAGACCAAATGCACAAATACATATAAACATATACATGTATATATGTGCACGCACACATACAAAGAGCATAAGCGGCGTGAACCAACCGTCTCTGTAGACTGCCTCTCTGCGAATGAAATGAAATTCGCTCACAGAGAGCACGAATGCGACAGCTCCCAGTCGGCTCTTAGCCGAAGTGCGACAGCTCCCATTCGGCAAATACCCGAACAGCTATGGGAGCTGTCGCTAACAATTTCGATGGGACGTTTTCGTTGTATGAAATGACGCATCTATATGTTGTATGGTTAGTGGTTGCTGTGACGGTGAGATCTGCTGTGGCTTTCATTTTAAGTAGCTTGTTGGTTTGGATAATGTTTTTAGTTTTGATGAGGAGTGTACCTGCACCAGTTTTTTTACACAAGTCTACTTCACCTCCGCAGGTGTAGTCGATGCATTTTTTTATAATAAATGGATTGGTGTGTATAAATGAGTTATTGTCCGTTCTAGTGATGACTATAAATTTGCATTCGTTGGTGTTTTCGTTGCTTGTGGCAGTTCTTCTCAGATCGGGTGGTTTCATTGTTCTTGCTTTAGGGCTTAAGCCCAGCGCTTGCACTTTGCACTTGTTGTTTTTAGTTTTTTTTTTTCTTTCACTTGTTGCTTTCTACAAGTCTAGTGAGAGTTAGTTGATGGCTGTGGTCAATGACCTTTGTTTAGGCACTGTTGTCGTAGTCACACGTCTATACTCGAAGAGGGTTGAAGTGAAACTGAATTAACTAAATTAATTTAATTAATTAACTAAATTAAATATAAAATATTCCATACATGCATACCTACATTTACATTTACATCAGAATCGTGCCTTATGCGTGTTTGTGTACTTGTACATATGTATGTATGTGTGCATTGGGCCTGGTTATATGGCTATAACTTTCTTTCCGATCATTCTATCATAATGAAACTTGGTATACGGATATATAATCACTAACCTAATGTGACTACCAAATTAGTTCAAAATTCCAAGAATTACGGGAGTAATAGAAAATCGTTAATAGGGGGGGAGTGGGGGGGTGGATCAGAAAAAATGAACAAACTCGTCTTTTCTCGGGCTCAGGAGAATCTGTATACCAAGTTTGCTTATTCTAGCTCTTATACTGTCGGAGATCCTTGCGTTCATGCAGACAGACAGACGGACAGACGACTCGGCTTGACTACCAAATTAGTTGAAAATTCCAAGAATTACGGGAGTAATAGAAAATCGTTAATAGGGGGGGAGTGGGGGGGTGGATCAGAAAAAATGAACAAACTCGTCTTTTCTCGGGCTCAGGAGAATCTGTATACCAAGTTTGCTTATTCTAGCTCTTATACTTTCGGAGATCCTTGCGTTCATACAGACAGACAGACGGACAGACAGACGGACACACGACTCGGCTTGTCATGCTGATCAAGAATATATATACTTTGTGGGGTCTACCAAGCCTCCTTCTGTGTGTTCCATGTGCCCTCGCACAAAACTAATATACCCTTGTACCCTTTGGTACAGGGTATAAAAAAGGATTTAAAATCGAATAAGTGAAGTCTAAGGTAAAGATGGGCATGGCCGGCTATTTTCGAAATGAACTTTTGGAAACAGGCACAAGCACGCACGACGAAAATATTTCTAAACACGGCCCAACACGAACCTGTTATAACCATTAAATGTAGAAAAGAAAGAATATTGCTGTTGGGTTAGTTTCTGAAGAAACTTTAGAGAGTGACGAAAGAGAAAAGCATATAATAAATACATTTATAATTTTAAGCAAAACAACTTAGCCCAGCAAAGACGGATAAGACCTGCTAGTATAAATATATAACACTAATTGATTTTAAATTTATACCATTTAATTTATTAAGTAAAATTAATCGTTATTGGTCAATTTAAAAACGCGCTTCTTCGATGCCTGGCTTGCTTGGATTGCTTTGCGCAAATCGTGTTCCGCTGAGGATCCAGTACCAATAGAATCTATAATGAAATAAAATTTATAAGTAATTATGTCAAATTACGTTATATAATTATGTGGCTTACCAAGCAGAGCAGCATAAATGTTTTTCAGACTTTTAAAAGCCTCTTTCCCCCGTACGCCGTCATCCCCATTACCACATCGTCGGCGACAACATTTTTTAGACCCTTCAGGACGTCTGGTCTGAGGAGATTCTTCTTTGCTTGAATCTGGGATTAAAATTAGAATGCAATATAAATAAATTTATAGTATATATGTACAGTATAGTATATAGACTATGTATTGCGGGCGTATTGTTATTACTTACATGTTGCTCTTTATTTTCCAAGGTCATGTCCCCATCAAGTTTATGAAGGTCCTGCAGTGTTGTAATGGGGAATTGGTCCAGTAAGGACCGTGCATCGCTTCCTTGTCTCTCAATGCTGCTAACCCGAGATTTCTGTTGGACTAAGGCGTTAACGATTACTTCGTTCTGCGCTCGAAAAATACTGTTTTCAACTGGAAAGAATATAAATGATTTTAAATAGTAATAACTTGTTGACATAAACAGCGTTACTTCGCAACTCTGTAACGATTTCCAAGACTTCATCAAGTTTCGCCTGGACTATTTCGATTTTTTCTTCGGGGGTGCGTTGCGGTTCTGAAATATAAAAAACATTTCGTTAACATGTATTCATTGTAGCGTGACTTGTAGCCTGTACGTTAAATTTAATTATTTTTAAAATTTAACGACTCGCCATCTATTGGTCAAGCCAAACAGTAGCCTTTAACAGGTACAAGGCGAAAGTGAAATAGCAGCAGCAAACGTCAACAAAAGGAAGAAATTGGCGCCTTTCACTGACGCTATGTTAAAAGCTTTCGTTCGCGCCAGCGGTAGTACGTTCGCTCTTTTTTTATTCCGAACGTCAATCAAGCAAGAAGTGTATGAAGTGTTAAGTTCAACTTGTCGAAATAAAAAAAAAAAAAAAAAGTCAAATTTTCTTCCGCTGGCAAGAAAGCAAATGCTTGTGCCTTTTGTGGGGAAAAAAGTAAAGTTCCCAAATTGAATTCAAAAGAGTGTAATTGTTCTGTTTAACCGCTTTGGTACAACCATTAAAGCCGCTAAAATATTTGCGGAAGAAGTATCAGACCACGGTAAGTTGCAGATTGCGTGATTTTTTTTTTTGCAACAAGTGTTTAGGCAAGGCAGTCTGATAGGCATTAAATTAATTTGCAGGGCCTTGATCAGCTGTCTGCAACAACAAACCTTGCCTGGGACTTCCACTCGGTCGGCCGCAGTGCCTAGAGGGAGAATAAACGGCAGGAAAAAAAGAAGAGAGCAACTTCCAGGCTAGCTTTCCCGTCCACTCAACACCCGGCAGCTTCTACTTTAATTTGGGAGTGTAGAAAAGGCGGCTATAGCGACCAAACGTCGGCGGGGGCGCGACCCTTTTTAAATCGGCGAACAAAACGTTTAAATAAGTATCGGAACTTGCCCGGAGGTGTTACCCATTTTTTTTTCTTAATTTTTTTTTGTTGGTGTCGGTTTAGTGCCCGGGAAAAAAAAGTAAAAATCCCGAGTAAATTCGGGTAATATTGCAGTGGCGCGCAAGCGCCGAAGAAGCCGTATGCCGGCGTATTAGTATTTATAAGGTTAGGTTATATGTTAATTTGTCCAACTCGGTGGCAAAATTTTATTTGATGTGCTCTTAATATTCATGGTTTCAATTGTTAAGCCACTGTTTTATTTTTGCATTTTTTATACCCTGTACCCGTAGGGTAAAAAGGGTATATTAGGTTTGTGCAAAGTATGTAACATACAGAAGGAAGCATCTCCGACCCCATAAAGTATATATATGCTTGATCAGCATGACGAGAGAAATCGATCTAGACATGTCCGTCCGTCTGTCCGTCCGTCTGTCCGTCTGTCCGTCTGGATGAACGCGAGGATCTCAGAAACTATAAAAGCTAGAATAACCAAAGTTGGCATCCAGATTCTCCTAGGTCCGAGTAAGGACGAGTTTATTTTTTTTTTTTAATTTTCCCCCCCTTCCCCCGCTACAGAATTTCGTCAATAGCGTCCACATTTCAAATGCTACCTAAACCAAACTTTGCACACATAATTTATATATAATTGTCGCTGTTGTTCAAAATTTTATTCAATTCGGTCAATTCTAAGAAAAGTTATTAGCAAAACAAATTCTCGCCAGTACAACCCCCACAAACTGCAGCAACAAGTTCGCTCTTCTTCTTCCTCTTTTGCTGCTGCTATGGGCGCATATAACTCAGTGACGCAAGTTTACCTGGGTACAGGGTATTACACTGTCGGGCTTGCTCGACTGTAGCGTTCTCTCTTGTTTTCTTGTTGCCTTATTCCGTAATTCGGAAGGCACCAATTTTTTTTAGTGAGAACGTGAGAGCGATTATTGGTTCTCTCTCGCGCTTGTGCGCTTTAATTTGCTTCCCGCGGGTTTTTTTTTTTTGTTTGCGCGCTCTTATTCTAGCGCGGTGTCTTTTTTACAGCTACGCTCGTTCCAGACGGAAAGCGCTTTCTGCGTGGGATCAGCAGCCCAGCCGTAAGTAGACAGCTGTTTATTTATTCTTTTATTTGCATTTTTTTTTCGAAAAATGGGTCATTGGAAGCGCAATACTCACTAAAGAAAGTTTATTTTTTTCCTCTACGCCACTGAACGGCTATTTAATGATTTTTTTCTTCGAGCAATATTTATTTATATTTTAAAAGGTTCAGTTTTTAGATATTGTAATTTTTATACCCTGTACCCGTAGGGTAAAAAGGGTATATTAGGTTTGTGCAAAGTATGTAACATGCAGAAGGAAGCATCTCCAACCCTGTTAGAACATTGTCATGTTAGGGTTAACAACTTGTATGTATAACAGCTGATTAATTTACGCATTGTAACTAGGTCTTAAGTCATGCTCACTTCACTGTATTAAAGCAACTCAAACAGACAAGACGTTTACGCTCTCTTATTGTTTCTGCCTTTGGATTTTGGGAGCTCCGAGGATCTTCTACTTGCATAATCTGAAACTCTCTAACAAAGGTTATGGGCCCAGGTCCCACAGATCCCAGATTCATCAAGTTGGCGGTGTGAATAAATCTTAATAAGCACGGTACCAAAACGCGTGGTAGTGCGTGGTAGATTTTTCGTTAACTAAAAAAGTGCGCATATATTTTTTTTTTGTTGGTCTTGGTCGAACTATATTTCGTTGGTCGAAATTCGGTTATTTGTTTGGTTGGAAAATAATTTGCAAACTTCGTTGGTCGAAGGGAATTGTATGTGAATTAACACAGTCACTGGAAAAGGTTCCAAAATATCAAACGGAATGAACATTGATAAATTAACAGAGGACAACTACGAGAGTTGGTCACTTCAAATGAAAAGCCTGTTAATTACTTCGGATTTATGGAAATATGTAGAATTGTCACCAGATACGATACCTGCAACGGATCGGTTATTATGGACAAGAAATGACCAAAAGGCATTGGCAATGATAATTATGTGCGTGAAGCCCAGTGAGTTAATACATATAAGAACATGTAACAGTGCACAGGAAGCATGGCATAAGTTACATGAGGTTTATTTTGCCAAGGGACCAGCTAGAAAGGTTAGCTTATTCAAACAATTGATAAGGTTCAAAAGCAATGATAAGGTTTCCCCTCAAGTGAACAAATTTTGCAGCATTGCATATTTGTAGGATACTCAGAGAAGTCTAAGGCATACAGACTATATGATGCATTCAGAAGATGTGTTATCGTATCCAGAGATGTGATTTTCTTGGAAAAATCGTTTACAATTGGTCGAGATGACGGCGAAGGAGCGGATGTCGTGGACGCAGAGCGACAATACTTTTTCGACCTGGAGGATCATCTGGCGATCACAAATGATACGGGCGGTAACAACGTAGCCAATCAGGAAGAGGTCAATGATGTCGTTATGGATGAGAATGCTATACTAGTTGATGAAAGCGAAGAAGAAAACATTGTGGCTGGAAAGCGAAAGCGAGGTCGTCCCAAAACTCTTCGAACGGGTCAACCAGGCAGGCCAAGAAAAGTTTTCGTGGTTCCACAAACAGTTAACCAACTGGAGGTTTGCAACTCGGATCCAAATACCGTAAAGGAGGCACTGACTAGCGACAACAGCAACAATTGGCTAGAAGCGATGAATGCAGAGTATCAAACACTTATATAAAAACATACATGGGAACTTGTTAATGATGATGAAAAATATAACGTCATAGGTAGTAAATGGGTGTTTACAACAAAGCGCGATGCAACCGGAAACATTGAGAGATACAAAGCGCGACTAGTAGCTCAGGGTTGTTCGCAAAGATATAACATCGACTACAAGGAGACGTATGCGCCAGTACTAAGATACCAGACAATAAGAATAATATTAGGACTGGCGGCGCAATACAAATTATTTGTTAATCATATTGATATCGTGGCGGCGTATCTTAATGGAAACTTACAGGAGGATGTATATATGAGACAGCCGGAGATGTTTATTGATGAACAGAAACCGGATTCGGTATGTAAGCTGAAAAAATCAATCTATGGTTTAAAGCAAGCAGGTCATGATTGGAACACGAAGATATCTGAAGTTCTAGCTGAAATTGGGTTCAAGCAGTGCTTGACAGATAGCTGTGTATACATCGACGAAACTACAGATGGCGATTTTAATATAATTGCATTGTATGTGGATGACATGTTGGTCGCATGTTCAAATTATAATAAACTGGCGGCGATTGTAAAGGCGATGAACAAGCACGTTGAAGCAGTTGACAGAGGACCAGTAAAATACTACTTGGGACTAGAAGTCGAGCGTGATGGCATACAGGGTGATATATCAATTCATCAGCATCGGTACACGCAGAACTTGTTGACAGACTGGCATATGGAGGATTGTAAGCCATCGTTTACACCACTTGCTATGGGCACTGTGTTGCAGAAATGCACGGACAACAATTGCTGCGAAGTAGATGACATCAAAAGATACCAATCACTTATTGGAGGACTCAACTATTTGGCCATGGTTTCGAGGCCAGATATAGCGTACACTGTATCAAAGTTGTCCCAGTTCAACGATCATCCTCACAAAGAGCACTTTACGGCCGCAAAACACGTTTTGCGATATTTGAAAGGCGCACCAAAAGGTATAACTAAATTTGACAATAACTTTGAAAATTTTGCTTGTTATACAGATGCTGACTGGGGATCACAATCATTTGATCGGAAGTCTTTTAGCGGCTACATAATAATGTTCGCCGGAGCACCTGTGGCATGGGAGGCAAAGAAACAAAGTGTGGTGGCTCTAAGTTCAATGGAGGCTGAGTACATTGCCATGTGCCAAGGAGCCAAAGAGATTGCATTCCAGCGCAGTCTACTTTCCGAAATGGGTTTTTGGAAGTATGTCGAGGCAGCAACTACATTGAGATCTGACAACCAAGCGGCAATTGCGATCGTTAGAAATCCAATGGTACATAAGCGAAGCAAACATATTGACATACGGTTCCACTACATCCGAGAGAAGCATGAACAAAACGAGATCGCGATCGAATATGTTCCTACGGCAGAAAACATAGCGGATGTTTTCACTAAATCCTTATCCAAGGAGAAACATAGACATTGCTGTAAATTAATGAATTTGAAATTGTAAATTGTTATTTCTACATTCAACTTGAGCCGGAGTTTGTTAGAACATTGTCATGTTAGGGTTAACAACTTGTATGTATAACAGCTGATTAATTTACGCATTGTAACTAGGTCTTAAGTCATGCTCACTTCACTGTATTAAAGCAACTCAAACAGACAAGACGTTTACGCTCTCTTATTGTTTCTGCCTTTGGATTTTGGGAGCTCCGAGGATCTTCTACTTGCATAATCTGAAACTCTCTAACAGACCCCATAAAGTATATATATTCTGAATCAGCATGACGAGAGAAATCGATCTAGACATGTCCGTCCGTCTGTCCGTCCGTCTGGATGAACGCAAGGATCTCAGAAACTATAAAAGCTAGAATAACCAAAGTTGGCATCCAGATTCTCCTAGGTCCGAGTAAGGACGAGTTTATTTTATTTTTTTTAATTTTCCCCTCCTTCCCCCGCTACAGAATTTCGTCAATAGCGTCCACATTTCAAATGCTACCTAAACCAAACTTTGCACACATAATTTATATATAATTGTCTAAAATTGTTTAAAATTCTAAGAAAAGTTATTAGCGAAACAAATTCTCGCCAGTACAACCCCCCCAAACTGCAGCAACAAGTTCGCTCTTCTTCCTCTTTTTGCTGCTGCCATGGCCGCATATAACTCAGTGACGCAAGTTTACCTGGGTACAGGGTATTACACTGTCGGGCTTGCTCGACTGTAGCGTTCTCTCTTGTTTTGTTTAGTTTAGTTATGTAGCATAGGCAATAATTGCAAATCAGACAACAAAAAGCCTTCCTCACAATCGGGTGATTCCGAGTCTACTAAATATATTCCTACAAGTATATCTGAGGAATCAACAGGCTCTGTAATAAAAACTCCTAAATCGCCTACCTCTAAATGCTCCCTCAGAATCGGATGTAATAGACTTGATTTGAATTGGCTTAGAGCCTGTAACAAAACAAAAACATGACCCAACTCTGATGTGAACCTTTCCAAAAAGTCATCGCAACTATTTGGCTTCCCCTTACCCAAAAAAAAATACCTATTGGTAAAATGGGAGCATTTTCAATGTTATTTATCCGAATACCAATTTTGGCCAAGTTTTCGCTCTAGAACTTTGGAAAAGGGATAAACCATCAGTGTTGATATAAATATTTAACAAATTATGCAAATCTATATAATCTTGCTATTTGATTCGCTAAACAAATATGGAGTTAAGAGCCACCTGCAATTTGTGATATTTCTGATTTTTTTCCCTCAGTGTATTTATAAATTGAATTAACCTCAGTATTATGTTTTTTTTTTTTTTAAACGCGTATTAATTCTACCGCACACTCCCTTGTTGGCCTATGCCTGTTATAAACCACTTTCTTAAATCACTATTTAAATAATCCTTATTCTGAAAATGCACATTTTCTTTGATTTCTATTTCTTGATTAAACATTTCGTAATTGTCACAATAATTTTCTGCACATTTAATTTGTTATTAAGTGTTTCTATAGCCTTTTTATATTATATTCTTTAGCCTACTTTCGTGACTTTTGTTGTACATATTTGATTTATTAATTTGTAATTAATGCTTTGTTCTTACCTGCGGTATGTTGTAATTTTATTTTTCAAACACAAAAACAGCAAACAGTTTGAACGCGCGTCTTCGTAAGGCAACACGTTCAATTAAATTAAGCTTCGCCGCTTAAAGCAAAGCAAGCGACCGAAAGAGAAGCAATGCAAAAGAAGCATCGAGAAAAACGCAGCTGCACTTGCTTAGTGTTTGATGGTTTATTTCGACGCCCGAAAAATGTAACGGCACTTGCCTAATATTTGTTTGTGTTTCTTGACGAAAGACCAAAGCGCACGAGCATCAAATCTTTTCTTTAGCACTGTTGCATTGCCCTACTATACTATACAGTGTAACCAACAACTATTCGTACACTCTACTTTTGACTCTATATCTTTGCAGTTATTTATTATAAACAAACATTTTTTAGGAGTTCAAAACATACTGTTGTGTAAGGAAGATCACTAGTACAACTCTAACTCTAACCTAAAGTTTCCCACACCCTTGGCTGATATGCATTGCTTGATAAGATCTTGGTTGTACTGCTTAATATATGATATGATACGCCTTCGTAGTACTTGTTTTTGATCATCACTGACAAACCGAAATAAAATATGGTACTAGTACCTAGTAGTACCGTTGTAATGAGTACCGTTGTAACCTTTGGTACAAAGGTACCTTTAAAAGAATTCCCCAAATAATACTAAAGTTTAGTAACCAGTACCTTTAGAAGTAGTAATGAATTTTTTATGAATATGAAATTACTTTTAATTTCATATCAAAACATGCACACATTCACATAACAATATACAAAAAGTACCTTTATAACTAGTACGTTTGGTACAATTGGTACAATTTGTTCTAGTACCTTCGTAATTTAACCTTGTAACTAGTACATTTGGGTATTATTCCAATTATTGGTTGTTTTTGCAGAGTGTGCGGATGCTCCATCGTGTTAAAAGTTCCCCAAAGTATTCTTAAGTTTGATACTAGTACCTTTGGTACATTTGAATTAACTTTAGTTTCATGTCAACACATGCACACATTCGCATAACAATATGCAAAAAGTTCTTTTGCAACTAGCACCTTTGGTCCAATTGGTACTAGTACATTTGTTCTAGCTTCGTAATAACAATAATGCAAAATATCAATTTCAATAAGGAAACTTTCATAGTACACGATATATTTGGTACGGCTACAATATTTATACTCTGTACATAAAATGTACAAGAGTATATTAGGTTCGCGGGAGCTGAAAATGTAACAGGCAGAAGGAGGCGTGGCAGACCCCACAAAGTATATATATTCTTGATCAGCATGACGAGACGAGTCGATATAGCCCTGTCTGTCTGTCCGTCTGTCCGTATGAACACCTGGATCTCAGAGACTACAAGAGCTAGAGACACCAAACTTTGCGCAAAGATGCGTTATATGTGTACGCTGTGCAAGTTTGTTTTATTTTTTTGATTTCCCCCCCTATGGGGGTTTTCCCGATTTTCCATTCGTATAATCGCCCATATCTCAGAGACTATAAGACCTAAGGACACCAAATTTTAGTCCCAGATGCCTTATGTGAATACGCAGAAAATGTGTATTTTGGAATTTACCTACCACCCCCCTCTCTCATGCAAATCCCCATTTCCTCAAACTCCCGTAATTCTTGGAATTTCGAGCTCAAATTTGGGAATTACCCCCAGTTAGTAATTATGTGTCCGTATGCCATCACGATAGACCGATTTAACAAGAAGTTATAGCCATCAATTTATTTATATGTTGCTGCTGCAGCGCTACTTAAGCGCTGCCCGCCGCTGTTGCTGATGTTGCTGTTTGGTTGATTGCGAACATGCTTACACAGACACGAATATACGAGCATATACATACATACACTCACATAGACGCAATTGCTTTGTATATGTGCAATTATACACCCTTTACGTGAGTTCGAATACCAAAAGAGGTAAAATCGATCAACATCTTTTTTTTTTTTTTTAATTCTCTTACTTTTTTAATTTCTATAATTATTGTAAACATATGTACAGAGTATTTCAAAGTCGGGACACCCGACTTTAGCTTTTTTACTCGTTACTAATTAAAATTGAGTATCATCACTTTTATTTTTGACAGTATTAACTTAATTTAGACATTCTTCAGATGTTATAAGGTCCAACATCTGAAATTTTGATTTTAATCCAGATAGAGCAGGTTGTAGGTAGTTTCTCAGCTTTATTTTAATGATTACCCAAAAGATTTCTATTGGGCTTAGACCTGGGCTTGATGATGGTCAATCTAGGACATCAATACCATTCTCTTGAGTCCAATTATTGGTTGTTTTTGCGGAATGTGTAGATGCAACAGCGTGTTGAAAAGTATTTCCCACAGTCAATAAATAAACTCGTCTTTTCTTGGGCCTAGGAGAATCTGGATACCTACTTTGGCTATTCCAGCTTTTTTAGTTTCTGAGATCCTTGCGTTCATCCAGACAGACGGACGGACGGACATGTCTAGGTCGAGTTCGCCCGTCATGCTGATTCAGAATATATGTATACTTTATGGGGTCGGAATGTTTCCTTCTGCATGTTACATACTTTGCACAAACCTAATATACCCTTTTTACCCTACGGGTACAGGGTATAGAAATAATAATTATGTATATTTGAATCTTAGCTACCGGGTCTATTACTTCAAGACGATCTCGAGCTCTTTAGTCATAACAAAACTCTCTAACTCAATACGACACACACACAATTCTCAGCACAAAAGTATATATAGAAGCCAACCAGAATTGTTGTGTAGAAGATTAGGTGGTTTTAATAATATATACATATATATATATATATATATATATATATATATATACGAGTATAGACGTATAGTGAAGTGAGAATGTCCAAACGTCCTCGCGAATTAGATAGCGTGAAGAAGAAGGCGGCTAGGGCGCGCTTTCGCAAATTAGTGCGCAGTGTTCTGTTCAATCGGCAATGGCTAACGGATACGGATGAGCAGCATACTGTCTCCCTGAATGCCAAGAGAAATGTTGCCACGTTGTTCCGACGCAAGCGCAAGGCGGGTATATTAACAATGGCAGTAAGTATGCAATAAAGCTGTGCACCCACTATGTAGTTCTACCTGGTAACGACAACAGGAAAAGGCGCTTTTGGGGACCGCTAGTTATACGCGAACTGTCGAGGAGCGTAAAAAATTGGTCAGCATTGTTGCTCATTTGGCATGTTTTTCAAAAATACCACCGGTACGTAGTATATATCGGAGTTAGATAATTCGGAATAAGTTTATATCTATTATTAATAAAATCTACAGAAAATACGAGCCCGGATGGTGCCTTGCTTAAGGTTCATGGCTTGTGGAGCTGGTCGCAGGCTAATGAAAGAAGGAGATAGAGGTGTAACTATATACTTTATTGTTACCGGAGAGGTAGAGATGACCAAAAAGGTGTTCAATGCGGTACGTATTGAAAGAAATGCTTTGAAAAAATGCATAATGTTTGCAATAGGTGACCAATGCCTACGAAGACAAAACCGAAGCTATCTACGGCCCTGGCGATTGTGTTGGAGATGTAGATATGCTTGAACAGCAACTAAGAACTCATTCGTTTACATCGACGTGTAAGTGTGAAAATTTTCGGAACGATAAAGTAACATTGGAGCCTTTGTATACATACCCTGTACCCGCTGCACTAGCACATTAAATACAAGTATGTATTAATGTTGTTGATTAAGAATGTGAAGGTTTTAATATGCATATAGCCATATGGGATCACTCTACAAACTAAACTAGGTCAATCAATTTTAATGCAGGTCCCTATCCATTCCAACAACTAGACCTCCATATTCTAACACAAAATATTGTGTGGTTGTCTGAGAGAGAAAACCATTTGATTTCAAAGTATACCCCAATTATTATCAAAATGTTTGAGTACAATATATTTGAATACAAGGGTATAAACCCTTGGCAACGTTTTCTATATTCGAAACTTTTTTGAAGTTAAACTTCTTATGTGTCAGTTTTAAATGCTGGATCAGCAACCTTTTCCGTAACGAAACCAATAGCACGATAACAGGCGCACATAATTGAACAGCAAGTAGACCAGCTGACGAAATTGAAATTATGAATGGAAAATGCTGCCCGAAGGTAACATACATACATACATTAAAATAAACTCGCATCTGGTATTTTGATTTTTCAGAGTCGCCATTTTTTGTGGTTTCCATTAATATGTTTAAAATATTGTCAGAGGCTCTTGAAAGCTGGATCGGCAGCCATCGGTGACGGCGGGTTTTCTATTTTTTTAAGTGTGTTCTATAGCTATATATAGTGGTGCTACTTACGATATTTTAAATCTATTTTTAGTGGGTTTTCTAGATATTTTTAGGCCGATTTGTGGTGGATTTTCCACTCTTTTTCTAACTACTTCAAATAGCTTGTCTACCCATTTACGTATCTAACGATTTTTCTATCTAATTTCATTGGGTTTTCTAGACATTTTTAGGTGGATTAGCAGATTTTCCACACTTTCTCTAGCTACTTAAAATTGCTTTTCTATCCATTTTTTAGCAGGGTTTCTAGCTATTCATAGCAGGATTTGAAGCTAGTTTCTAGCACGATAACCTTAAGCGATAACCATTTGCTAGCGAAGGCAAATTTACATTAGCCACCATCATTTATGAATAATTATAAAGGCTTCTCTGACCAATCTAAATAAATTAACTTATTTAATCATTCCAATACAGCCATAAAGTTTCACTTCTATCGCGTGTTGCCCTTACACACAAATTATTTTTTGTTCTGGTTGAAATAAAAAATGTACACGCTTATAAACTTTGGGTACAGGGTACAATTAGGCATATACGAGTCCCTAGATGACATAATAATTGACGAAGACTCTTTCCTAATGTCCTGCAGCGGCTTGTGAGCTTTTACTTTTAAATGACCGTGATTTCCACGAAATATTAGGGCCATATGCTGTAAAAATTTGGCGGGAGAAGAAGAGGGCCTTAGCGGGCCTGGAATATTTCAGTTTTATGAGCAGGAACCAGGCAAGACACTTGATCTTAATCCTCGTTCACTAAATGCGAACTAAAGTCTATTTGTATTTCATAATGTAGATTGTAGAGGCTTGTAAGTTTGGCACCATTAAGCAATACCATCCGCTGGACACCATATACTCTGAGAACAGAGGTTCAGTGAGCTACGTTTATTTTATTCTAAGCGGCGAATGTGTTATACTGCAGTGTCTTCATATGAGGGTATGATCTAAATCACCTAACTGTAGAGTCATCCTCACATAGTCTTTGCCACAGGTCTCCAAAGTGAACAGTACCAAGCAATATGAATTAGCTGGTTATAGGAAAAGAACTAGCACTTACCCAATGTCAGCCAAACAGTCAAGCTTTAATATTAAAGAAGTTTTAGAGAGCAGCACTTCTGAAGATGCCATTCCGCATCCGCGCAGACCACGTAGAAGTGCGTTAGGACTCGAGGGAATCGAGCAAGCATGCGGACACAATGCACCACCCATCCCTGACCCAGTACATATGTCTCTTTTGGACCCTTATACCGAAAAAGAGTCGCTTGAGGGTGAGGAACAAGAGGTCGAGGAATACGATGACCTAAATGGTAGAAATTTAAGCGAAACAACAGAGCACTCTCAAGCCTTGGACCCATCAAGAAGTTTTATTGAACGATCAAGCCACAGGCTCCTTCTGAAGGAAAGCGAAGTTTTTACCCTATCATCGCTCAGCAGCACGATATTACGGTCCAAGGGGTTAGCGAGATCTCAAACGGAAGTATGCCAGCACACTTAGCATTTACTGTTAGTAAGTAAGTGATTAATTGAACCAATCCACAGCTCCCAGACCAATTTGAGACCCACTTCATAGATGTTGGGTCGCTTACATACGGAGGCATTTTTGGTTTGGGTGAGACATTTGAGCATCGCGTGATAATGGCACGCACGACAGTGCAGTGCTTGGTCCTTCCACGTTTCTGGTTAATGGAGAGTGCTCAGAATCCGGGAAACATATGGCAGCGTCAACGTTTTTATATCGATAGATGTATTCCTTCGAGGGTGGCGTTGTTCGAAGACTTCTTAACTACGCGCAAATGGAATTCGTTTTGTAGCGATTACATTCAAAGTACTTTGGACAAAGACTCAACATCGAACAGCACCAAGATCGAAAATATTCCTATATTTTGTCGCATTATGGAAACATCGGACGATTCCTAAACGGGCAACCACTTACAGACATACATTTACAACACTCCTACTATATATTTTTAATTCACAGTCTTTGCGGACGATAGTCGAGTGTTCCTATCGTATCGTCAATTTATCATGTTCTCATGTTTATGAAGGACAGAAAGTGAAATGATGTTGAATTAAAACAGAAACATAACCAACCAACTACAACTTTTTTAATCACAAGAAATGCATTTTTTTTTTAAATTATAATGGAATACGTTCCGTTTTCGAATAGTAGTAGGTAGGTACATACAAGTGTAATCTTTATTTTCTGGATACATTATATACTTACATACATAGGAAACATTTCACACCCATACTTTTTAACAAACACTATGTAGTATGTACTTCATTGCAGAAAATACTGAGTTCCTAGCAGTTGTTGTTCGCCTGTTCTCAGGATTTCCCCATCTTTCCAGATCTTAAATATTTTTACTCGACGAGAGAAAGGTACATTTACAAAGTTTTCTTTTAATAATAGTAGATAATCCACAACATTTATACTCAGTGTAGAGAGATCACACAGGAGATAATACTTTATAGTACAAACATATAATAGCTTACACAAATCTTTTTCTGTATATTTTTGTACATACATATACATATGTACATACGTACGAGTAAGTACATAACTATAAAAATAAAGTAAATTAAATGTGGAACAAGATTTGGCAAGTAAACGGCTCATACATATGTATATGTGTATATAGATAGTACTTACAAACTCGTATTTTAAATAACGTTTCCAATGAGTCTTCAGACATACATACATACATAGTTACATATATGCATATTGTACAATAGATACAAACATATCATATAGTATAGTAATTGTTGTGGTACATTTTTGACTTATTGTTGACTGATTGTTTTAAGTGTTTTCTTCGCTGGTACATTGTTTAAATAGTCGTATTGGTACTACAAGGATGTACGATGTGGGACTTGGAATCTAACCGATTCATACTATATATCATTTTCTACAGCATGTATTAGTTATACTTGTATATATAATTGTGTATGGTTTTGATTTTTGCATAACATTTCACTAATATTTTTCTACTTTTGCATACATAATACTTACATATATCAATTTTTGTTTAAAAAAAATATTTATTAAGGTACATGCACATCCATATATTGTATGTATATTGAAATAACTTCTCGTCTCGCAGATTGCACGATTGCACTGAAAACTTTCCATTACACACAATACCTTTCTGGTATATTTTTATAAGTAGAATAATTGGTGTAGTTAGAGCAATATATGTATATAGTATATAATTTGGGTTTTCATTTTGTACAATAAATAGCATAGTTTCTTTGGAGTCTTATGTGTTTTCAGCCCCTGTGATTGGTTTTAAGAGATATGCGCACACAGCTTAAATTCAAATACATGTAGATACGTACAAGTTCATTTTGTGCAAGGATGGGGATATTGTTTCCGGATAAAAAAAAAATAGAGAAAAATTGTAGAAAACTACCGCTACTATACTTTGCTTTATATTCCTATATACTATATAGTATACCATAAATTCAATTTACTTATTTTCAATGATCAATTGCAATTGCAGCACGAGACTTCGAGCCAGTTGCAAAACCGCCTGTGCATTGTGACGTTCGGCCATCTCTGAAATAGGTACATATAAATATATAAAGATAAATGAAAATTCATGTATATAACTGCGTATTAGCTTACCATTAAAGAACTTGATGACATCCGTAAAGTCCATGCTGTTCGACAAGATAATGTCGCGGTAGGTTTCCAATAGAGCCAGAGCTAGGAAGAGTACAAAATGGCCGGAAGCCATGTTCTTGGCCGCCCAGATGACTTCCCAGGTGGAAAAGACGTCATCGTAGACCAGTTCCCGCTTAAAGTCCAGCAGGAACCAGCGATAGCAGAAATAGAAGTGCGTGTAGTCGCCGTTCGAGTCCATTAAATCGTACATTTCTGAGTCCAGTATCTGGATGAGTGAACTGCGCCCAATAAAGAAAGCAAAAAAGACAGTATAAATTTTATAGCAATTGCATTCCAGTTTTCCCGCAAGGAGCATTTTAGCTGAAAGGACTACCAGTTAGTTTTCGAAACGCCTAAAATCTGCAGACGTGCCAAATTCTAATCCAACTACAAGGTGCGTTCCAAAACAAACAGGATTTTTACGTATACAAAATTTAGTAATTTAGGAATAATGTACTTTTTCTAATTTCAATGAAGGGGACTACTTCAGACTTCGTACATTGACTTGCACGGTCTAAAAGAATCTCCAATGAATGGCTTCCATATCCACATAACTCTTTCCTTTCATCGGTAAATGCATTGTTCGAAAATATGATTTAGAACATATTCTCCAATTTAAACTATGACAGAGTACTATATTACAACTACAAATACATACATAGCTGCTTAAAAAAGTTTGTTTGCATTGCCAATTGGCTCTTATATAGCTGCTGTTAAAACAACATGTGTAAATATTGTGCAAAAGCAGTGAATACCATTGACCGAATGTCTTAAATATGTAATTGTTCACCCAAATTTTCCCTAGCTGGACCAAAGTCTAGCCTATACAATTTTAATTTACAACTCTCTGCTCTCATTTATTCACAGATACAGACTTTAAGTTAAATCCCACAGCAAGAATAACTGTGGGTGGAAATTTTATAAAAAGCCTTTTCACAAGCTAAGAAACTTAGTTGTAAACAAACAAATTTCTGAAAGCTCAATCTTGTGCCAAAGGAATTATGTGTGTTTACCTCTATTACTATTAATTATTTTTTTATGAATTACTATACAACGTTAAAATTCACATATTTACTTTACATTCGAATAAGTTAGACCTGACTACAATAGTCCCCTAGGATCTTTCCCACTATTAAAAAGTCTCGTTTTAAAATCATTCAAACCGCTATCCAATCCATTATGGGAAATTTATTGAAATTTGAAAGTATGTTCTGATTATTTATTTATTTGCATAAAACGGAGCTTTTTCGACAAGATTAAATGAACTTTCCTAAGCGATATTTTTCGATTTGTTTATAAAGTTTCAATTAATTATTCCTTACCGCATATTGGCAAAATGCATGTCCATTGCACCGCCACTGGGAAAGTTCTCAATCATGCGCTCCATCAGCTTGCAGAAGCAACTGTAGCTCAAGGACTCATCGTCGAAGATTACGAGCAGTGGGGCGACGAGGTCGCACATGCCCTGCATATAGCCCACATCCAGATGCTCCCACACATAGGTCGATATGACGTTGCGCAGCTTATCCAGATTCTCATTAGCAAAGTACCAATAGTTGCGGTCACAGCGCTGCACATCCTTCTCAATGCGATGGAGATTGAGACCAAACTGTTCTAGGAGCTCGCTCTAAATAATTTGAGATACGTACATACATATGTGTATAGGCATTAATGGATGATATTTAGAAAACATAGTCGTTATTTCAATAAAAAAAAGCATGTACATATACGGCTAATATTGCGATCTTTTAAATGCACTCTCGCCACGATGCTCTGACGTGGGTACAGTAGATGCAAAATATTTTGGCAACCCGAAAAAAAAGTTGTTACGCTGTTGGTTTGTTTTTTTTAATGGGGGGATATATTAAACGTTCCGCCTCCCGTGGCTCTTTGGCTAACAAAAATCAAATTACAAAACTATGAACTAAAACCTTCTGCCTTCGCGGCCCAACTTCAACTAAAATTCGTACAACTCCATTTTGCATTCTCTAGCCCAGACTTATCAACTATTCCTCCTCCCTTTCTTAGGAGGAGTCAGTCTGAGGGGCTGCCAACTAGCTCCTGCGCCAGCGGTGCTCGTTGTAGGAGGCTGCCACCTGTTGGTTTGGCAGTCGGTGGCAGTGCTCCCCATTCCTTATTATGGCGTTATGTAGCTGTCAGCTTTGACAGCCAGCGTTATGTTGTGGGGCTGCAGCTGTTGGCCACGTGTTGCCGTGCATTTTTATAGCCTGTACCCAAAGGGTGAAAGGCTATACTAGTTTTGTGCGCATGTATGTAACACACAGACGGAGGCGTGGCAGACCCCACAAAGTATATATATTATTGATCAGGATGAGAAGACGAGTCGATATAGCCATGTCCGTCTGTCTGTCTGTCCGTCTGTCTGTATGAGCGCAAGGATCTCAGTGTTTTTATACCCTGTACCCGTAGGGAAAAAAGGGTATATTAGGTTTGTGCAAAGTATGTAACATACAGAAGGAAGCATCTCCGACCCCATAAAGTATATATATTTTTGATCAGCATGACGAGAGAAATCGATCTAGACATGTCCGTCCGTCTGTCCGTCTGGATGAACGCGAGGATCTCAGAAACTATAAAAGCTAGAATAACCAAAGTTGGCATCCAGATTCTCCTAGGTCCGAGTAAGGACGAGTTTATTTTTTTTTTTTTTAATTTTCCCCCCCTTCCCCCGCTGCAGAATTTCGTCAATAGCGTCCACATTTCAAATGCTACCTGAACCAAACTTTGCACACATAATTTATAAATAATTTATAAAAAATAAATATAAAATCTACTGTTGTTTACAATTTTATTGAATTCTGTCAATTCTAAGAAAAGTTATTAGCGAAACAAATTCTCGCCAGTACAACCCCCACAAACTGCAGTAACAAGTTCGCTCTTCTTCTTCCTCTTTTTGCTGCTGCTTTGGGCGCATATAACTCAGTGACGGAAGTTTACCTGGGTACAGGGTATTACACTGTCGGGCTTGCTCGACTGTAGCGTTCTCTCTTGTTTCTTATAACTTCCGTAATTCTCGGAATTTTGAAATCAATTTTGGTAGGTATATCCAGTTAGTAATGTGTCCGTGTGCCAAATTTCATTATGATAGGTCAATTCTGAAGAAAGTTATAGCCATAAGTAAAATCGCTGCTCATGCGCTGCCTGCAGCTCTGTCGGCAGCGCTGCCCGCAGCTGTTGTTGTTGCTGCTTTGTTCAACTTTGTGCTGCATACATACACGCATATGAACACGCATAGGTACGTGATGTAAATGTATGCTGTTAAAACTGAACATAAACATGTATTCTAATTTAATTAATTCATTCATTCATTTTTTTTAATAATTTAATTTTTTTTAAATTTTTTTTTTTAATTTTTCCTTTTTGTGGAGAGTACAGGCTATTTTACTGTCGGGCTTGCTCGACTGTAGCGTTCTATCTTTTTTTTTTTTTTGCAAATTTAGGTTGCACTTTCCTTTGCAAAATCTGTGACTTCTCCCGAGTGTTGTCTGGTGTTTCGTAGGCGTTAATTGGTGTGTGTGTGTTGTATTGTTGTCACACCTAAAGTAACTTCTGGTCTTCATTTCCCAACAACCGCAGTCTCTTCTGGCGCATCTGAGTCCTCCCCGTGAGCGAATGTTTCCATTCGCCATCATCGCCATAGTCTCCTCGCAAATCGTTCCATCGATACCGGCACGTCAACAACTCGCACATTCCCCCCTACTGGTGGGACGGGCTTGCGAAGCTACTTGTGGCTCCGGTATCCACCAACGCGTCGAGGGCAGACCGCAGATCGCAGTCTACCCTCAACACCATCGCTAGCGTGCGTTCTGCCGTTAGTTCTCCTGCGCGGGCTCCGGCATTTCCCGCTGGACGCCTGCAACACCCATTCGCTCGCACGCCCACTTTCCCGCACTCCCAGCAATCTCTTGGCATTAGGGCAATATCCTAGGTAGTGCCTGGTATTCCACAGCGTCGGCATGGCAGATGTGTAATTGAATGCTGTGACCCCGGAATTTCATCGACGGCGGGTGTTGGCTGTGCCGCCGCGAGTGGAACCATTAGGCTCGTCTCGCCCACTGACATGGGTGGGGCTTCTCCTCGCACTACCTTTTCCAGTCGGTTCATGGCCAGTGCGAGCTCGGATATCGTTCGGATCTCCTTACCGACGCGGATTCTGCTGCGTATTGATGGGTGACTGTTGTGGTGAATAAGTATCAACTATTCTTCTGGCGTCCAGTCTGCGTCGAGCATGAGCTCCTGCATCGCCCGTGAGTACGCCAGACTCGGACTCGACTCGGACTCTCCTTGGAACCACTCCCGCACCGCTCGACGGCACTTCACCACATAGGGTGCTGTGGGGAATGCCTCTAGCAAATCCTCACGGAACTCTACCCACCGCTGGGACAGGTTTTGTCTCTTGCGCTCCCACATGAATGCCACACCCGTGAGGATTATAGGTAACATGGATACTAAAGTCATCTCTTCTAGATTACGAAGGAAAGACCTGGGGTCCGCGCTGCCCGGCTATGTCGATTAATAGATTTCGTGGAGTGTTTCACCTACCTTCTAGTACTTTCGCTCCAATCTAGTATATCGTTTTACAGTATATTATAGGTGGAAGTATGTATGTATATAAGTGTAGAGTCAGGTAAAGAAAACGGGATGTTTTCACTGAATTTTTAAAAGCGGTGGTGCTACAAATATTTGGACTTAATTTTTTGAAGAGACGGGTATCTCACATTGTGAACAATTGCTCGGAACTCGGGAATTCGAACTGGAAAAATTGTAAACTAATCCAGAAAACAACATACTCGTATATTTGAAAACCAAATAGCTCAAAAGCAAGTAGAGATTTGAAAAGGAGGTAAGTGTTACTTACGCTGTAAACACCTCCATTGGAGCTAGCTGGAGATGCGCATGAGGACTTTGGCTGCTGCAGTGAATCCAGTGTGCCACCACTGGCGCCTTCGACCGCTTGCTCCGTGAGAGGTGACATTTGGCCGTTGCTCCCACCTGGCTTCGACCCTTGCTGCCAATTGGCAATGTCTACTGATGCGTTGGTTATGATGACAGCCGCCTGCAATGGCTTGCTGGCCTCCTCTGGCGGTTCTTGGGGTTCTTCGTCTAGCAGCAGCTGTGCCTGCAAATCATCGGCGCTGAGGTACTCTGGGCTAAGGACGCTCCGTGTATCAGCCATTTGAGTCGCGCCGCCAACTGTCTCGTAGCTAGAGGTGGGCGATGTAGAGGAGCTTGGCACACATTTTTCATCCAAGGGCTTGCTCGTATTCACTGCTGATGTCTGTTGCTGATCTTGTTGTTGTTCTTTTTGTTGTTCCTCCTCCTCGTCCAGATCATCGAGTCCTTCATCCACATGACCTGAATCTGTGCTGGTCTTCATAGCACGTGGTATGGGCTTCACGCTTAGGTGCGAACCACTGCCCGTTCCTACGAGTGCGGCTTTGGGGGCTAGTGGTTGTTCCTGTTCCTTTTGCTGTTGCCCCTGCTCATCATCGGACTCCAAGTCGCCTGGATCTGAAATGTCTGATATGTCCTCAAACACCTCGTTTTCTAGCTCACCACCAGCCTCCAGATCAGCAGCGCGCACCGTACGCTCATTTCCACTGTTACTGCCCGAGCTCAGCTTGGCCACAGCTCGTGCTGTTTTTTCCTTTTCCCGCTGCTGCACAATGGCATCCACAGCCAACCACTCGCTCATCGTCGTCTCGTAGTAGTGCTTGCAAGTCTCATCCTGTTTCTGACGGTCCTCCAGCGTGGATCCGAACGCATAGTGGCCCAACAGATACGGCCACACCTGCTTACGTAGTTCCGGCTCTACACCACCAAAGTAGACCAGGCGATAGAACTCTGTTTGGTTGTGCATGACGCCGTCAACGTTGAGTAATTCCCATCGCTCCTTCGTCAAGCCCTCCTCATCGGCTTTCACTGCAATGAGTGTGCGACCAGAAATGAAAAATTAGAAAAATGCATTTCACTTTTTTAAGTAATTAGTATGACTCCAATAAATAAAACTCTGCAGACAATACTGGTCTAAAAAATATATTTTAACTGGTGAGTAGAAAAAATTCTTGTATGAGGGAGTTAATCAAGTTAGCGGAATATATGTATATTCCTATTTGGGTACGTTTTGAAGTGAAACTTCTTATACAAGTATAAGGGTTTTGAAAGCTGAATCGGCAACCTTTTTTGTGACGAAATAACTTTTTTACAAATGGAAATACAACTGTTTTCTACTATTTATAGCGGTGTTTCTTGCCATTTTCTAGCGGTTTTTCTATTAATTTTTTATGGATTTCGTAGGAATTTTCTAGCGGTTCTTCGAGCCATTACCAAATTTTCTCTTCATTTTCTATCTACAAGTATTTATAGCGGTTTTGTATGTCTTTTCTTGAATATTCTACCAATTTTTGCCTGGGTTTCTAAACATTTATAGTGAGTTTTCTAGCCTTTTTAGTGGTCTTTCTGGTTAATTATAGTGGATTTTCTAGCGAGGTTTCTTGTAATTTGTAGAGGATTTCCTATCCATTTTCTATCTATTTGTAGCGGTTTTGTATGTCTTTTCTTGAATATTCTACCAATTTTTGCCTGGGTTTCTAAACATTTATAGTGAGTTTTCTAGCCTTTTTATTGGTCTTTCTTGTGGTGGGTTTTCTAGCGGGATTTCCTTTCAAGCCAAATATACATTAGCCATCAATCATTGTATAACAATTATAAAGGCTTCCCTTACACCTACTTCCTTCTTTTGTGGGTGAATTGTGGGCGTTTATTCTGATTGATACTTACTCTCTGGCGTGATGCGTCCATGCACTAGACCCGACAGGTGCGTGCGGACGGTCGAAAGGTGCCGGCAATAGGCCAGCCAGCCGTAGAAAGCGCGGGAGATGATCTGACGCCTCATGGTGGAGCAGACCATCTCGATGCTGGTGTTCTGTGCGTGCTGCTGCAGCAGCGGCGACTCCAGCGGATATTGATCGATGGAGAGACTCTTGTTGGAGCAATCGCTGCTGCCGGTTGTCGAGCAACTGCTTAATTGGGCGCGTCGCGGAGTGCTGCGCACAAAGTCCAGAATAGAATGTGTGGCCGCTGTGGAGAATCAATGGACAAATAGGCATAACTTTCTAAGCTCTGATGTGAATTTTTTTTTTTTATTTAGTTCATTTCATATTTCATCTATACATATTTCCTTTCACTTAAACAGTACACGCTTTTCAGGAAACACATAAAAAAGTTCACGTTCTCTTCCCAAAAACAGAAAAGATTTGTATGCCAAAATATTTCAATTAGAATCGGGAAGAAACACTAAAGGAAAAGTTTAATTATCTCCTGCTCTATATTTCAGCACTTTTTACGAATGGGAACAAAAAAATCACGTTTATTTCTATCATACAAATAATAAATCATTTTCCAAGTCACCTAAACCCTATATATAGAAATTGCAGCAGGAGGGATTTAAGTTTTAACTTACTGTCAGGACTTTAAAATCCCTTCAAATTGTTGAATAGATAAGAACCAAGATATGTTTCAAGCATTGCTTCTACTTCCTAAATTACTTAAATTGGGAAATGATCCACAGGCAGGACGAGCCAAAGATAAATTATCGAACTATTTAGGATTGTATTATTTTGGACTCCATCAAGTAAAAACCTGATATTCCCCACCTGTGGTGTTTGTTATTTGAAAGGTTGTATCATCGTAAGACGTGAAAACAAACATCTGATATGAAATTAGCTTTTAGACACAATACATATCCATATACAAACAACAAGTATTTCGTGCATAGACTTTATGAAATATAGTGGAGGGATACTCATGTATAAGTAACATTGAAGTTCTATCCTGTCGACTTAGACACGATTCTTGCCATATTGTAGTAGACAAATGGACATATCACTATTCTATACAACAGAAACTTTCAAGTGGAAAACAACTTGATTTTAATTAATTTAACATATTTCTTATACATATTTTAGAAATATTATATATTATATATGTACCAACATATATTCATACACCTTTTAATGTTTTCTGTGCAGGGTACAGCAAATATTTTCTTCAAACATTATTTGGAAATGGGTAAATTGCTTTCTTATTATACCCTGTACCCAAAGGGTAAAACACAAAAAAAATAAAAGCTTGATGATCTTTAAAAATGCTATGTAAATAAAGCCCTTTACCCTTAACATCGCTTGGGTCGTTTCCAATTGAGAAGAAGAAGGACCTCATAAAGTATTTATTCGTATTTATGGCAGAGACAAATGAACCAAGAGACGTCCATCCGTCTGTCTGTATGAACGTGTAGATTTCGTAAACTGCTGAGCCCACATTAACAGAAGTTTGTATGTAGTCTACCCTAGCTCTGTTACAGCACTAGTTTATTTCATTTTATTGATTTCTTGGCTCTTTCCTAAGCTACATAATTTCGTCAATACTACCCCAAATTCTATAAAAACTAAGCTTTCATTCAAAGAAAAGTTTCAAACGAAAAAATGTAATACAGTACTATTGCGTAACGAGACGCCCTTTTGGGGTACAGGAAACTCCACTGTCGGACTGGGTTGACTGTAACATTATCTTCTGCATTATACAAGTGTAATGGAAATTTTCTATTCGTCGTGTGACATGTAATTAGCCATGGCTTGGTCGAACAATCGTGTATTGCTTTCTGAATAAAAAGTGCTGGTCGCACTTACCAAATTCTTCGTGTCGACTCTTGCTCACAATGCGAAACACATAATCAATGGGTGTCTCGTCAACCGATTCCATGACTGATGGCAAAATGCGGCGACGCATGCTGCGCGGCCATAGAAACATTTTGCCAATGCCGCGCTGTGACCAAAGAGGCGGATCCAGCTGTCCATGTGGCAACAAGCCGGTTTCCAGGCAGCTGAGAAACTGCTGCATGTGTCCGCCCTCGGGAAAATGTATCGGGGGTCGCTGCACTCCATCTTGACCCACCAGGATAACAGTGCCCCCACTGTCCTCGCCGCGACTCTGATGACAATGTACATAGACAATGTCATCCACATTAATGTTGAGTGCATATGCCCAGAAGGCGTCTTTGTCAATGTCCTCGTCCTCGGTCTCATTGTAGCCGTTCATTAGCTGGTTGGGCGTCCATTTGATGGTCAGCGTCTGTATGTGCTGGTGAAGACTCAAGTAGCCAGGCATGGGCTCAACCACATCCTTCTGCGAAGCGAAATCAGATCTATATGGTAGTGTACACGAAGAAAAAGCTTCCCACTCACCGGTAAGACGTGCACATTGTTTTTTCCATAAAGCAACGTAGCCTTGGCATTCTGATGCAACGATTCCACATAGTCCTTGGCTACCGAGGCCGAGGCAATGGATTTGAATGAGCAGCTGCTCGCCTCATCCGAGCTGGTGTTCAAGCTGCGCTTGAAATTGATAATCGGTGGTCGGGAGCAGGTCGAAGAGGAGCGGCGACAAGAGCTGATGCGATGACGCTGTACCTGGTGGAAAATAAGTCTATTTAGTGAATACACATACAATTAAATATATAAAATTATGTATGTATGTATATAGATTCCGTAAAATGTAGGCTTTCAATTGAATATAACATTGATTTGAAAGAAAAACATTAATCCAAGAGGTTGGTCCTCTCAGAGAGCTATATTTAACAAGTGAGTCTTTCAATTGAAAAATTTCACTTTATTCCTGTTTTTACTTTCCGAGATTCTAGCATTCATACCGACGGAAGGACAGATGGACAGACGGTCAGACGGATATGGCTATATATGAACTCAAAAAAACTGATCAAGAATTCATATACGGCGCGGAATCGGCCATGCTTCCTTCTGTGTGTTCTATATTCTCGTATCTCTGGGTATATGAAAAGGTAAGTAAAGATCGGCCAACATGCCGGCAGTTCTATTACTTTTTATGAGAATTAAACGGCTTTATTTATACATAGCCTCAATAAAATATTATTTATGCCATTAGGATGATGAATAATACACCTAATTCTGTTTTTACACGGTAGACTGGTTCCAGAAAAAGTCATGTAAAACAAGAGAGAACGCTACAGTCGAGCAAGCCCGACAGTGTAATACCCTGTACCCAGGTAAACTTCCGTCACTGAGTTATATGCGCCCAAAGCAGCAGCAAAAAGAGGAAGAAGAAGAGCGAACTTGTTGCTGCAGTTTGTGGGGGTTGTACTGGCGAGAATTTGTTTCGCTAATAACTTTTCTTAGAATTGACAGAATTGAATAAAATTTTGAACAACAGTAGATAATTTTTAAATTATGTGTGCAATGTTTGGTTTAGGTAGCATTTGAAATGTGGACGCTATTGACGAAATTCTGAAGCGGGGGAAGGGGGGAAAATTAAAAAAAAAATAAATAAACTCGTCCTTACTCGGATCTAGGAGAATCTGGATGCCAACTTTGGTTATTCTAGCTTTTATAGTTTCTGAGATCCTCGCGTTCATCCAGACAGACAGACGGACGGACAGACGGACGGACATGTCTAGATCGATTTCTCTCGTCGTGCTGATTCAGAATATATATACTTTATGGGGTCGGAGATGCTTCCTTTTGCATGTTACATACTTTGCACAAACCTAATATACCCTTTTTACCCTACGGGTACAGGGTATAAAAAGACATTGATCATATGTTATTTTAAATCGTGCTCAGTGGAATAAGGTCGTCTATATAATCTATAAAAATTTTAATTTTCATACCGTGTTAAATCAAAACCGCGTAAAAACAGAATTAGGTGTATAATAAATAAATACACCAAAAATAACAGAAATTTCTTTTCTACCGCGTAGTAGGAATATATTTATATTAATTACCTATTTAAATGTATTTCAATCTGGGTCTAATGGGGTCTAATGCCAATCGCGTCTATTGTTGCTTTCTTTTATTTCCCTTTTAAAATATACTAGTTAGTAGTCGTCCTAAAGAGTACACTAAAAACGATATATTTTATAGAATGGTTATCCATCTCCATTGAATCGCTGCTGAGTAATACGGAACCTGAGTTTTATCCTTTGTCGTGGCGCAGCTTCGCCCATAGCCTAGATATTGTGCCATAGTTAAATGTATTTCATTTTTTTCGTTATTTCCTTTTTAAAATATATTAGTACTCGTACTTGTTTAAAGCGTACCCGGCTTATGTCCATCTCCTTTGAATTGCTGCTGAAAAATGTGGAATCTACAATCTATGGAAGCCTGTGTGACTGGATGACACTTACGTTCTGCTGATCGTTAGCACTTACTATACAAGCCAAACTTCTTCACTTGCATAAAAAAGTTGATTAGAAATAACGAATTTTTATACTCTGTACATTAAATGTACAAGAGAAAATCCCCCCTATGGGGATTTTCCGAATTTTCCATTCGTATAATCGTCTATATCTCAGAGACTATAAGACCTAGGGACACAAATTTTTAGTCCCAGAGGCCTTATGTGAATACGCAGAAAATGCGTATTTTGGAATTTCCCTCCCTCCCCCCTCTCCCCCGCAATCCATAACTACCTTAATTCTTGCAATTTTTCATTAAAATTCAAAAAGGACCTCCCGTTAGTGATTATGAGTCCGTATGTCGAGTTTTATAATGATTAGCCGATTTAACAGGAAGTTATAGCCATATATGTATTTATGATCAAGCAGTGACCGCACCTGTTGTTGTTGTTACTGTTTTGCACAGGCACACAGACACACAAAAACACACACATACACATACACGCATAGCTACGCATAATTATACTACACATATGTACAGAGTATTTCCAAGTCGGGATACCCGACTTTAGCTTCTCTACTTGTTTTGTTTGAATTTGAATTTTCTTTTATGGAGGTCGTTGGAACACTTTTTGGAAATAATGTAAGACTCATCAAATTATAATGATAGGTCACAGATTTGTAGACGCTCTACGCGATGCGTATATTCGGCACCTTTAGGTGTATATATTTTTAATCAGTCTGTCGAAAGGTCTATCCCTCTATCTAAATGAAGGTTTGCATTTCGGAAAGGCTGCGACTCGCAGGGTACAATATTGGTACATCATTATTTATTCTTTTTTTTTCGTCTTCTCCGTTACATAAATTCTTCAATACTATAAATAAGTAGTGTACATGAATTCTACATGAAATTCTACACCATTGTTTCCCATTTTATACAAGTCGACAAAGATATTCTCTTTGGTCATTGTTTGTTTATTTTTTAGAGCATTATCTGAGACCGTTTTCTTACATGACGGAGTACATTGCGTAATTGCTCTGCCAGCAAGTCTCATTGGAACAGGAGCAGGCGCAGGCTTTTCAGATACAGTATATACTTATGTTAATAACAATTTCTTCTGGACAAAACGTAATACCTACATTAGAGTCTTAGATCACTTGCTCGCTCTTTGGACGATAGTTCCAATAATTGGTTGAAATAAATTTCTTACCAACTCATCAGCATGCGGATCAGTCCAATAGTGATCGGCGGTCTTGGCCCGGGTGAACTCCAACGCGCACGGTCCGACGAGCAGAGAGCTGAGGATTGAGCCGTAGTCGGCATCGGCCACCAACGAATCGCGATCGTAATAGCTGGTTGCATTGGCTACCAAATACTCTATGATTTTCGTGAGCCGCTTCTCGTACAGAGCCAAACGAATCCACAAATACCTAGAAAAGAAGGTCCTTAGGGTCGCGCAAAAGCTACTAATGGATCATCTAAGATACTCACTTCATGGAGGCCAGTGACATGCTCGAGTTGCTCGCACTGACCGATGTGGATGCGGTGGCATTTACGGTTGTGGACATTGAACTGCTGCTGCCCTTCTTTAGCATGGGCGGTCGATTGAAGCTGTCGCTGCTGGAGGAGGAGCGCTTATTGGGATCACTCGCCTCAATGTCCTGCACCATTTTGCTAATGTGTTCCGCCTCGGCGCATGTCTTGGCTATTTTGTGCAGCAGTGCTGTGGTGGATGAGGTTTTGAAGAGGCCGAGAGCACGCCTGCGCAGCCCTTGACTGAGGCATGCCTCAATGGCAGCACAGAGCGAGGTCACCGAGCTACTCTCCTCATGCACATATTTCTTTGTGACAGCCTCCTCCATTAGCTGCTTCACCTCCTTCTTGACGCTCGCAATGAGCCGCTCCTTATACTCGTTGCCATCTGCAAAGGGCCAATAATTTTTATTGTAATAAGTACACAAGTATAAACTCGATAGCTCCAACAGCGCCCAGTTGGCACTGCGTTTTATGAAACGCCTCCGAATCTTATAAAAATAATCCCCGGGGGCCTTAAAACAAAATCACAGCGGAGACGGAGACGGTGACAGTGTCGCCGCCCACCAATACGTCTGTCTGTCCATTTGAAACCCAATATGTTCGGAGCGTGTTTCTGACGCCGCGCCATCACGACTGTGCTCTACTCTGCTGCGATGTCCTGCGCCGAACTAGTTTGTGAGAGTGGCGCCCAACAGGCGAGCACTACGGCATGAAATTAAAACTTATGTTCCCACCCGTGTTCGTCCACTAGTTGCCACATACATTTATGCTCGTATATACTATATAATATGTATATACCATATACTCGTACATAAAGAAAGTCGAGACTGACTTTTGATGAATGTAGAGCAAGTGCTTCTCTTCTTCCTTAGTTTGGTTTATATATATTAGTGTTGGGTGCAAAAATTGTATGTATTCAGAATTCAGGATTGGCAGATCAATTGTTTAGCGTAGTTAACAGAAAAGAAAACAATTATGATTGCCTATAAAAATTGATATCTTGATTTGCAAAAGGAAGCACATGACAATTCCTTCTTTATATGAGAAAGATAAGTGTATTGAATTGTTTGTTAAAAGATGTTGGCTAAAATATTTCAATCTGGCAGCGAACGTGCAAGGAGACGAATGGGCGTGAGAACAGGAATTTATTCCGAAACCTTTTAAAACTGCTCCAGAAATTAAAGCAAACCCTAAAAAGGCTGACCAATTTAAATGCCTTCTTACAGCGAATATGCGTTCCACCCGACCGAATTGGTATAATTGGCCAGTGAATACTATAATTGCTGAAGAAAGCAAAAAAAAACAAAACTGAATGGGTCCAGATTTGGGAGTCATTGTGCGTCGTAGAATCCATTAAAGATTCAATGTGATTCAATGTAAAAGGGCTGTAAATCATTTTCCATACATTTTGGTCTAAGGAGCAATTTAAAGTCGAGGTATTGGCGAAATGTTATTAGTGGAAGGTACTGATGCCGAAGAGCAGCGTATACTTGTATGGGAATTATGAAAGCGGGGATTCAACTGAACATGCAGAGAAAGTGGTTTTCGCAACGATTCTACACCATGCCATCCATCGAATTTGGCAAGAACAGTGTGCAAATTTTCTTATATGTACAATTTGTTTCTACATCAGCAAACAAATTTCCACAAATTAATATATAAATATAAATATATTTTATGAACTTCTTCCCTTTCATGGCCAGGGAACAGCACAGACCTTAATCCAATTGATAACTTTTTACATTTGAAAAATACAGTTTATATAGTAATTTTACTATTACTTTTAAAGTAATAATGTTATTTGCACAACTGAAAAGTCTTTAAGAATTTCAATTTTTATTAAATTTAAATTTAAGAAATATTAACATTTGACTGAATAATTTTATTATAATCATAATGTTCCGACTCCATCTCTTCTTTAAAATTGAAAGACAAAACGAAACTCCACTAACCACGACAATCATAAGAAATGTCTTGAGCTCTTAAAGTAATTAAATTCTACTCACTTTTTGTTTCAATTATTGGGGGAAAAATTGCAGAGAAAACTACAAAAAAGTGCTCTTTAACATTCTCTTAAAATAGAACAGAACTTCAACCCATTAGACAATCATTAAACAAGAACTAAATAACCACAGTAGCTATTTATGGAACAACACCTTCCAATATTAGACAATTTTCCTGAAGAATCTACAAACAACAATATTTGGTGTTTCGCTTCAATTTATCACGACTAGACAAAATAAAATGTATGCGACTTCGACTCGGACGCACCAATCTCACTCACAGCTCTATCCTAAATAAACCTCCACCACCCACATGTCCAAATTTTAATAACAAAAATTTAAATTCCTGGAGCAACCCTACAAGTATAGGAAATAGCTTCGCCCAACAAGAATATTTATAAGTAGTCGGACTCTCAAACTAAGTAAGCCACTGTTAGACGACGTCGGTTAATCCGAAATGTCCATCACCTCCCACCACCCACGAGCCGTACTATTCCAACAAAATATAATAGAGAAAATATAAAAATCGTATAATATTACTATAGTTGCTTAGAAATAAAGTTATTTCTCGGTATGTAAATGAGACCAATTTATTTTTGGCTCTATTTCTATTGGGGTTAGGGAAATTGATTTAGATAATTCTTAAGTTCTAGCTTAATTTCTCTATGGGTGCCTTACTCTTCTTTAAAGATGCTTCAATTGTTTAATAGCATATAGCATCATTACTTTTTGGTTCACAGTTTATCAAAGGGGTCCCCAAGTCCCGTACAAGGTTTTAAGTTAATGCCTCAAAGATCACATTCTTAGAAGTGTTGTTTTTTACAGAAAGATGAACATTGATATTTCATCAATGATGCTCACATACTTGTATGAATAATAATAATAATGATAAAAATAAACCTTAAATTTATGTATAAATAAAATTCAACTTAATTTTAATTTTATCTAAGGATTTTGTATACTTTCTGACTAGTGCATTAATTTATAAGAAATTTTCTTGTCGCACTAGGGACTAATAAACAAATAAATGAACAGAATATTTAAAACTTCACCAACCTTAACCATTTATTTAATTTGCCAATCGAAAAGAATGCATTTCCATTTTTACAGAAAGGGGAAGTTGATTTTCATTTTCAGTATCTGTTTTGCCAATTAAATTAAATTTAGATAATTACAATACTCCCTCTGCATATTTGTCGTTTTTCCCCATAAATATCCAAGGCTTTCGACGTGGTAAGACATATTGAACGTCTCGATCGGACCATCCTTTCAAAAGTTTTGTGTAGTTCAATATTGAAATTTATTTGTATATGATTTTTTTTTTATTATTATTTTATATAAAAAAGGTATAATATTACTATAGTTGCTTAGAAATAAAGTTATTTTTCGGTATGTGAATGGGACCAATTTCTTTTTGGCTCAATTTCTATGGAATTTTTCCTACCTATGTACCTATCTTCTGTTCGTTTGCTAGAGTTGCAATATTTTTATAGCTTTAATAGATATTTAGATAATATATATTTATGCTCTTTGTTTTCCTGTAAATTTGTTAAGTTGCTCCCTTTTAAAATATTCATTTTACACATTTCCCTGTAACCGCACTGTTGATATTTTGTATAAAAAAATAAATTTGTTTAGAAATGTATTAAATAAATAAATTTCCCATCGTCCTGCTACTTTCATAGGAATAGAGGTGAATCGAATTAATATCAGAGATTTTGTAAGTCTTTTTTGCAGTCTTTTTTCACTACTAAGTCTTTTAGATCTAGTTTAGAATGAATTAAAATATCAATTTTAAGCTATACAAATAGAGCAAACTATGTACTTTTGTAGTGTTTGCTAAGTGTTCTCATTGAAATGTGCTTATTGCTTCTAAAAACATTGACCGATGTCTGAATAACTCTTAAATTACTGTCAATTTTCAAATGCATTTTCTCAGTAATTGTATCTATACTGAGTTTCGTTTAAGTCTTAGCTTTGCCAGAATTCGCAGCGTATGTGATACACCTACTATTAGTTTAATTGAATGAACATTTTTTGTGGACATCAGGCATTAAATGTGTGTACCATGGACAGCCTACGGCTTTCTGTTTCACATTTCGCTGTGTGGGTGTGTAACACCTTTTAGCAGACACTTCGAGTCGCACATCAACCGACACCAACACCAACACCCACAACCACACACACATGGTAAACACTACATACATATGTACTTATACGTGTACAAGTATATCCTCTATCGACTCCACTGGGCCCCAGCCTCCAATGGCTAATGGCATTTGCACTCAAAATTCATGTTAGCTTCTGGCTACATATAATTTCATTTTCATTAATTGTTTTCCATTTGCTGCAGATGCCACGCAGCGTCCGCCCGAGCTTATGTATTTACAAGTATGTGTATGTACATATATGAACATACATATGTATATACTTGTACGTCGCCCTTACCATATAAAATGTGTACGAGGATATATACTTAGTATGTGTGCACTGCTTCCTGGAAATCTTGGCTATTACCGTCTATAATGAAATATAATGCATAAGAAATAAAAAACTTCGGCTCCAGCCGAACATAATATATTAATGAGGCGGAGGTTTGTTATATGAGAACACGTTGGTGATGAAAATTGGAAGCACAAAGTAATAATAACGTAATTGTTTGTAATGCCCAAGAAAGGAAAATAACTGTAACACATCAGAAGAAATATGATTCCCATCTAATTGAAGAGTTCAGGTAACGAATGTATCTAGTCTGTTGTGGAAGACAATTTTAAAGCGATCAGAGTGCTGCTAAGAGCAGGAAAGATTCACATTGATTTATTACAGTAGTAAACGACTAAAAACTATTTGGAACATGTCCGACTTTAAGAAGTCCTGCATCCATCTTATAAATCTAAGAAATAACAAGATACTTGTAGGAATACTGTAGTCGAGCGACCTCAACTCTAAAATACCCTGTACCCACTCCCACAAAAAAATAACAAGTAAAAAAGCTAAAGTCGGGTATCCCGACTTTGAAATACTCTGTACATATGTTTACAATAATTATAGAAAATAAAAAAATTAAGAAAATAAAAAAAAATTTGATCGATTTTACCTCTCTCGGTATTCGAACTCACGTAAAGGGTTTATAATTGCACATTTACATAGCAATTGCGCCTGTGTGAGTGTATGTATGCCTATGCGCATCTATTCGTGTCTGTGTAAGCATTTTCGCAGTCAACCAAACAGCAACATCAACAACAGCCCGGGGCAGCGCTTGAGCAGCGCTGCAGCAGCAAATATATTTATGGCTATAACTTCTTGTTAAATCGGTCTATCATAGTGAAACTTGGCATACGGACACATAATAACTAACTGGGGATATTTGCAAAATTTTAGTTTGAAATTCCAAGAATTACGGGAGTTACGATTTGCGGGGTAGAGGGGGGAGGGAGGGAAATTCCAAAATATACATTTTCTGCGTATTCACGTAAGGCATCTGGGACTAAAATTTGGTGTTCCTAGGTCTTATAGTCTCCGAGATATAGGCGATTATACGAATGGAAAATCGGGAAAACCCCCATAGGGGGGAAGTGGGGGGAAAATCAAAAAAATAAAACAAACTCGTATAGAATATACACATAACGCATCTTTGTGCAAAATTTGGTGTCTCTATCTCTTATAGTCTCTGAGATCCAGGTGTTCATACGGACGGACAGACGGACAGACTGACAGACGGACAGACGGGCAGACAGACAGACAGGGCTAGATCGACTCGTCTCGTCATGCTGATCAAGAATATATATACTTTGTGGGGTCTGCCACGCCTCCTTCTGCCTGTTACATTTTTCAGCTCCCGCAAACCTAATATACTTCTGTACATTTCATGTACAGAGTATAATAAATATATGTTTATACTCTGTATATGACATGTACTTGTACAAGGATATATTAGGTCCGCTGCAAGGTGAGAAATGTAACAGGCAGAAGGAAAAGATTCTGTTAGTCTGTTTGTCCTAGACCTCGGAGACTCAGCTAGAGACACAAAATGCAGGTGTATTTATAAGTTTTCCTCTTTCCCCCACTCCCCCGATATGAGTATGCAAATAAAATAAATAAATAACATATTTATTTATTAAATATATATGGGTATATAGGGTACTATATAAAAAGTCATTCCATACTATACTGATATACCTTACGTGCTATGTATTTTATATGCATGTTCCGGAAAAGGTGATGCTCTCAAGAACTATTATACAAGGACCGTAGCCGGATAAGGAGCGAAAAGTGGCCCAAAGCTAATGGTCGGGTCTAGAGAATAATCGTTTAAAAAGTTATTGTTTATTAATGTTTGTTTTTGTTTTTATTATATTTATGCTTGTATGGTGGGCGTTGTATAACACGTTATGCACTTGTAGATGGCTTACGATTTAATCTACGTTGCACTAAACAAACTCTTTGAACTAGTTACTAGAATAATAGAAAAACGACTTAATTACGATGTGAAGGTTGGCATCAAGAGCCAAGTAGAAAACTTTTAAATCTGTTGTATGAAAATTTATATTAAATTGGCACTGGCAGTGGAAGCTGGCAACATTTCATAATGCACAATGAACACCTTAAAAACTGGATGGCCAGTTAAAAGTTTTTCTGGGCGCAGCGCAAAGCTGAAATGACAATATTTGCGATGTGTATGCGCAGCTGTTCAGCATTATGATGCCGTTTTTGTTATTGTTGTTGTTGTTGTTGTTTTCGCTGTCGACGCCGCTGTTACAGGCCATGTAGCAAGTAGCAAGGCCATTATGTAGCCACAATGCTGCCTTGTCGCAATGGACAGAGGAGTCGGGGACAGAGGGGAGATCGTGATGTGCTGATGATGGTGACGATGGCGACAAAGCTCCGTCTACCCCAGAGATGAAGGACTGGCATCAGCACGGCATCGACATCGCCATCGCCATCACCATCACCATCGCCATCGCAGCCAATGCAGCGAGCTAAATGAGTGATGTAAATGTACTAACTGTGCATATTTAAACGCTTATGGTCGCTTATGTTGCCGACTCTGTCCACATGGACACTGGCGTCGTTTTCTCTTTGTGTGCGTAAAAACATACACGCTCTTATGGTCCTCCATGCGTTTGTGTGGGTGCGAGTGTGAGGGTGAGTGCATGTGTGTGAGTGCATGTGTGTCCGTTGTCCTTGTCATAAAATGTTGGGCCGTCCTGACTCTTGTGGCCGCTCGCCTGCTTAATTGCTGCTCTTTGTTGCAGTTGCCGCAGCATTTTCATTATCTGTTTTGTTTTCTCTTCTTCTGCCGACTCCACTGCTTGCTCCCCTTCTTATTCTGTGCATAGCATGCAATTAGCATTTAAGTGTCGGTCACACCATGTTGCCATGCAGTCAAGTCGCCAACTTTGTCATTTCATTCCATTCTGCTTGGAAAAAGTTTTAATAACTTAATTTCAGGGCACAGCGCAAACAAATATGACAGAGCGCCAGCGACAGAAACAGCAACAGCAACAGAAACTAAAACTAATAATATTCAAGAGGGTTACAAACCAACTGCAATTTTTTACAATTTGTGCTGCGGATGTCAAGCATTTATAAAAAGTAGACGCACAACTCTGCATTACATATTTCTAATTAAAATTAAAAAATACCATTATTTGAACCCTTTGACAAGTTATGGCTGTGTACATGACACTCAGGGACTAAAAAGTATGCCACTGAAGGCTGCAACGTTTTTTTGCTGCACAGGTAAGCCACAATTAGCTTTGCGTAAGCCATTTGATTTTTTTTTGCTCTCTTGTATAAAATTGTAACTGCCAGCAGGATAGCTACTGAACTAAAAATAGGTAGCAACTATCACAGTTTCACACTCGGCCGAAACAGAAACATTTTAAACTAAAAGAAGCAGTGCAAACAATATGCCGCATTGTGACGTCATTCATTTCACTCTGCTAACTATATTGTTTCGAATGATCGATCATATTTCGTACATTCGATTGCCGAACTTTTTGCCACTATAGATCAATATTAATATTAAAAGTGAGGTGTATAGTCAGGTCATTTCATTAAGTAATTATACTCTGTACATGAAATGTACAAGAGTATATTACGTTTGCGGGAGCTGAAAAATGTAACAGGCAGAAGGAGGCGTGGCAGACCCCCCAAAGTATATATATTCTTGATCAGCGTGACAAGACGAGTCGATCTAGCCCTGTCTGTCTGTCTGTCCGTCTGTCCGTCCGTATGAACACCTGGATCTCAGAGACTATAAGAGATAGAGACACCAAATTTTGCACAAAGATGCGTTATGTGTGTATTCTATACGAGTTTGTTTTATTTTTTTGATTTTCCCCCCCACTTCCCCCCTATGGGGGTTTTCCCGATTTTCCATTCGTATAATCGCCTATATCTCGGAGACCATAAGACCTAGGAACACCAAATTAGTCCAAGGTGCCTTGTGTGAATACGCAGAAAATGTATATTTTGGAATTTCCCTCCCTCCCCCCTCTCCCTCGCAAATGCGATTTTCTCTAACTCCCGTAATTCTTGGAATTTCGAACTAAAATTTTGCAAATACTCCCAGTTAGTAATTATGTGTCCGTATGCCAAGTTTCACTATGATAGACCGATTTACGAAGAAGTTATAGCCATAAATATATTTGCTGCTGCAGCGCTGCTCAAGCGCTGCTCAAGCGCTGCCCGCGGCTGTTGTTGATGTTGCTGTTTGGTTGACTGCGAAAATGCTTACACAGACATGAATAGATGCGCATAGGCATACATACACTCACACAGACGCAATTGCTAAGTAAATGTGCAATTATAAACCCTTTACGTGAGTTCGAATACCGAGAAAGGTAAAATCGATCATTGAATTTTTTTTTTATTTTCTTAATTTTTTTTATTTTCTATAATTATTGTAAACATATGTACAGAGTATTTCAAAGTCGGGACACCCGACTTTAGCTTTTTTACTTGTTTTAATTAGATGTAGTCAGTAAGAATTAAGAATTGTTTGAGGCTTATTTTTAAGTGGAATGAACTGCTTGAATTTAATTTACATGAATGCTTACTCGCATGTAAGAAAAGCGCTGTCTGCGAACAGCGGGCTGTAAAGCTTTGTAATTATGCTCTCTAGCGCACTGTTAAAGTTTCCATACGCGCTTGAGAGCAAGCCTTTGTTCGAAGTGTTAAGTCACTTTAGAAATTGAGATCAGACTGACTGCGTGTGTAGCTTTGTAATTATGCTCTCTTGCGTACTGTTCAAGTTTCCAATTCTCTCTTATCTTGTGCAAACGAGCACGATTCCAAGCAGTCTTTTGCCAGCCAATTCTTGTTGTGCATTTATTTCTTTTGCCATTTGGCCGACAAAAGTATTAAAATTTACAAGTACTATGGAATATCGTGAAGTGGGTGTACATTGAAATTTAATAAAAGGCAAACACTTTAATGACAAAACTTACTCTAGGTTTAAATATTATTCATATTTAAATCAGTAGGTAAATATGTTTTTCGTCAAAATTACGTTGGTTATATTTGATTGATATAAGAAATATATATTGGAAAATCTTCATTTGACCATGGAATTTCCTTTGAGTGTAGATAGAAAGTATGTGGATGTGCGAGCATTTTTCAAATCTCAAGCTGTCGTAAATATTTGGTAAATAAATAATAAGTGTGTCGGGACGGACCATGTATCCAAGGTGATTTTATCTTATAGATAACATGTAAGCCATAATTGAGTATTAAGAATGTTGTTATCATATCATAATGAGTTGAACGTGGATGACCAAATAAATAACGCAATAAAGTGTTTGTTGTAAGGCAACGGATCGTTCTTTTGTAATTTTATTTTTACACCTACGAGTATTTGTTGTTGTGCATGAAAAATCAATAACAAATGAAATCAGCTTGGCTTAAGTGACTGCGACGCAAGGGTTCAGACACATGATTCATTTCTCAGTACTCTTTTTGCACAGTGTAGTATATATGTATGTTGCACACTCTGCTCTTTGTGGTAGAGGCAATGGAAAGCTAAGCCTGTATTCTTTTTATATTTTCATCTTACGACCAGAAAGAAAGGGCTTTTAGTAGTAAATGTAAATGAAATTCCATTCTACGAGTATACATACATACGTACAAGTACTTTTTGTTTTAAATCAAGACTACTTGACAGATTTCGGCATTTTTGTTGTCTCAGTAAATGAATTACTTACAAATTGTGCGTAACTGTTAAATTAAGTGTATCAAAATTATATCATTAAGTTAGAAATGGGCATAAAGACGTTTCAAAAGAAGTTGGACGAATTTATTAGACGGAATGACATTGCCCCTTGGTACCAGGCATTGTCGCCGGCCCAGGAAACCATTTTCCACCGCCTTAGCAATGATTTGCGGGATGACTTCGAGCAGGGCACAAGTTATCGTGTTCAGAAATGCCTGGTTTGCCTGGGACTGAGTCCAGTCATAAATACAAAGAAGATACGGAGTATGGTTCAGCTTAGTCGTGGCAACGATCTGGCCTTTCTATTCTTCATACTGGAGGCCTATTACAAAACCTATGCTAAGGATCATTCATACAGTTTCAATGAGAAGATACTTATGACCGGACTTGCTGAATTGGATATGAAGCCCACGCTACGCGAGCTTGACCGGATCCTTCCTCCCGGGGTTCCAGAAACTTATGCAACAGCGAAGGTACAGTGGGCTATCTCTAAAGTAGAGAGCGGTGCCTTTTCTAACGTAGGAAGCAGGAGTAAAGACAAATTACCGTCAAAACCAAACAACCAAAACCAAGAGGATGGGCCGAAAATTTTGCCATATTTTCAGAAGCAGCCTCGTCCGATTCAAAGACATCTGGACCTAACCTATCGCCCAAAGAAATTTACAGTGACTTTGCCATTCTGGGAGGTTGGAAAACCACCAGACTATGGCCCATATACCCCGGCACCCTGGTTCGCATCCTATGAGCTGAAACCGGCAGTACGTGTGATAAAGCATGCTGTAGACGACGCGGTTACCAAAGTTTGCGAAAAGCAGGCTGAGGTAGAAAACAAAGAGAACGCTGAATCGGATCAAGATCCAAAAGAAGATAGTGAAGAGGAACCAAGAAATCTCTGTGCGTACCACAGATTTCTTAAAGAGCAGATGGCTCTCTTGCAAGACGAGCTCACGGTGAAAGCGCGGGACCGTTGCTTGGAGATGATCGACATAGAGCATATAAGTCGAAAGGTAAGGCTCTTCTGACCAGTTCAACGAAAATACTCGATAACTTTGCCTGTAGATGCGATGTAGGAGAATTGTATCGCAGCTCGATCACGACATCGATCTGTATGTGGAAAAGTACAACAAAATTGTGAAATCGGAAAATACAACCTTGCTTACGATTGTGGGAACGGAGTGTAATGTGTGTCGGGCGTACGTGCCAACTCCAATTCAAAATAAGGAAGAAAAGTCTCTCGTTGGCGACTGCATGGGTGTGGCTCACACAAATGTGCTACAGACGTATAAGGGAAAACGCTTGACTGGAGGTGGTCTAAGAATTGCCGATATTGATTTTGAGGGCGACTTAGAGCCGTGCAAGAAGGGCACTCTGCCCGAGCCAACTAACTGCCCTGAGGAACGAGAGGAATTGCCCAAAAAGGGTCATGTCGAAGGAACTCGCATATCCTTTTCAACAGACTATAAGAAGGCAAACATTGATGTAAGATATACCGCTAAGCAAACTAAGAAAACATTTTTCAAAGCCGCCGAGAAGCATAAGCCATACCAGTTTAAATACAAGCGTGTGTTCAAAACGGGTCGCCAGGAAGTTAATGACTTGGGCAAGCATATCAAAAAGAGTTTTGTACGCGCTCTGAACAAATCAGACGACGACGAGCTATTGCAAAGCATTTGTGTTGACAACAAGCCCAAGGACAACGACCAATTAGCTGAGGGCGATGGAGAACTGGAGCTAGAAGTTGTGGATATTTGTAGATCGAAGCTAACAGACAGCACTGGGTCGACAAACGAAACCAGCGATCACAGCAAATACAGTCATGTGGATCACCGAATCCCAATAATCGACGCCGTCGTCCAATGTGCCGTGAAGATTTGGAAGAAAAGGGTCGAAATAAAACGGGCTGAAATGGAATATAATGAACAGAACGAATTCAGAGACTCAACAATATTGACGTATGATGATATTGACAAATTTGATCCCGACGATATCAAGTTAATGGACCGCTTGTTGAAGGACGGTATGAACGAGCTGAAGAAGAATAAACGGTTTGTGCTAGCCATGCTTCCATTTTCCCACAAGCTACCGATTTTGCGAGAATGGGTGAAAAGGCGCTACGGGAAGAGATATTCGCAAAAGGAGCTCGATGCACACATGAAGATATCGGAACAAATATTTGAAATAGTAATGTCGCTGCAAACCAGTCCACCCGACGTCGATTTACTAGAGATGGAGGATACGGAACAGAGTTTCAAAGATTATAAGAAAATGCTGGAAATGGTAGTCGAATATTTGCATATTTATATCGTAATTTTATATTGCTAACCCACCGTCCATATCTTCCTTTTATTCAAGGCTGAAAATGTCAAGACGAAGTATTACGAGATCATCAATTCCACATTCTTTAAGCATAGCAATTTCTGCTGGTATGCCATGGGTGCATATCTCTGTCCCGGTGGGCCTCCAAGGTCAACGTTCTACTCCTATATGCCGGCCACCCCACGCAATCTGCACCGCCACCATGTATGGAATGGGGAATACAGGAACTACCGTCAGCTTCGTGACATGGTGAGGTCACGTAAAAATGGAGAGCAGGCCCAATAGAAGTACCATATCCATTTCTGGGGCCCCCATATCCATTTCGATTAGCCCTTTTTGAAGATAACAATATATCAGTAATTTATACTAAACCAAAGGCAATTTAGTTCATTTCTATGATATAGACTTAATACCCTCTTAAGACTGGTTGCGCCCTCGACGAAGCTGCAGGCTTCTCCTGGAGAAAAAGAAGAAATACACCAACCTGTTAAAGTAGTTAAAAGTGGTATATCATATCTGACTACTAAATCTTATAACTTTCCTATGCCTCTAAGCTATCCAGCCCAAAATTGGTATTCTCTCTACATATTATACGCGAGCCTAAACCAACACGGACTACCATATAAAATATGTCCTTACCTTGCCTGTACCTTACAAAACGAAACTTTTGTGCGCTATTAAATTTTTTTGTTTTTTTAAAGAATAATAATCAGAGTATTGTTGGCGCCTCAGCGCACTGTTGACAACAGATTTATGTCAGCATTACTTGTAGATGTTATTTAACAGACGGCTGACAGGACGCAGCTCGCGCGAAACCCCTCTCTCCCGCTGTAAATTAGATATTAGCATACTGTAACACCCACGTTGACGATCATATTGGCAATTTGTTCAATTTAAAAAAAAAAACATTTTTACAAACATACTTAAAAAAAACGCACGAGTATAGCTGTGGTTTCAAATCTTTAACATTGTTCGAAAATAAAATCCAATATAGCGAGCTTAACACAGGTTTTTTTATTTATTTTTTTTTTTTTTAGGTGGGGCCTAGGCCAGTTGTTGTTTTTATATTTCTTAAAACAAAACATTTTGTAATGAAGCCCGTATTCAAACAAATTGTAGAAATAATCCCGCAGGACAAAGTTTTATTTGAGCTTCTTTTTGTTGTTGGCGCATGAAATGAAAGATAATTGCCAGACAGCATACTACCCTACCCTCTCCCACTCTTTCTCTGTGTGTCTCCTAATGAACTCTTAATGGATCTTTGGCCAACGGTTTCACTCGCAATGTTGTTAGCAGTGGAGAAGAAGAGCAGGAAGCCGACTGACCCAGGTGACTAACATTTTATGCTTGCTGCTTAATTAAAATGCGCACAGCTAGTTTTCTCCGATTGCCTGCAAGTTTGACTGTATGTGTAGTACATATGTATGTATGTATGTACATATATCCATATGTATGTATGGCAATTGTCAAAAAGCGAACCATTTCCTCAGTATTGCTGCCATTATGGGAAATGCCAAATGGAGTGGAAAACAAATGGTTGTCGTATGTTATGCCGACCACTTTTAAATTGAAAAGCTGCACTATATACTATATTTACTTAGCTAGAATGACCAATATTTGTTTTGATTAAAACTTGATAAATATAATACTGCTATACTTGTATAGTACTGAAATAAGCTCACATTACTTGTGGAAACGAAAGCAAGACGAAAGAAATCACTGTTGCATGCTTGTTTCGCTAATAACTATTCTTGGCACTAGCTGTTTTTAATTTGAGGAATATAATTATTATTTTGGTACTTATCTATTTTGATCTTATCTTTTAATAGAACATACTTGTATTTCTTACTTATTTTTCACTTCGTCATGTATGGTTACTATTCGCAGCCCACGAATATGTATGTATCAGATGGATATTGCGATTTGGATATAACACTCTAGTAGGTGTAGCGTATAAAGTACTTTAAATAATATGTACAGTTGTGTTCAACCCTTACAGTCTTCCAAAACTAGCACTTGATATTTTGTTGGAAAGCCTGGAATGCAAACTCCAGATACAGATAACTGAAAAATTTGTATACATTCGCACTTCTTTTCTTTATTTTTGATAGTTTTCCGCGTATACCCAAAAAATATGCTGTTCATTGAAATAGTACATAGTGCTGGGAGTAAATAAATCAAAAAGGTGAAAAAACAAAATAAATTTATAAAGTAAAGACGCAATCAGTAAGTTCGCTTTAATTATTGATTTTTTTGAAAAGCAAAATTTTTGGGAAATTGCGTTAGTTTTATTTTTAGTGGGTGGAAGAAATCTGATAGTCAGCTCAAAAAATTATGGCAAAACATATAAAGAGATTAAAAATAAAGTTCCATACAATGCCACTGTGGTATTCAATGCTATCAACTATAAAAAGAAGGCAGAGAATCGAGGTGTTTTAGAGGATACTTGTAGACGTATTGTGCGGTACAGCAAGATCGAGCCGTTAACATCGACTTAAGTGATAAAAAGAGATTTGAATTTTGAGCGTTCCAGTGCATGATAAAATATATATGAACATAGTCTGATTGTATGTTGCAGTATTAAATGCAACCACAGTATATCACTTCGTTTCTTGATTTGTTCGTTCGACCCAAAGCCATTGCTTTTGTCTAACATCGGAACTTCAACTTGCATTGAAGACCCGGTAAAAAGTACCGTTCTGTTTTGGCGAGGCATTATCTAAATTTCATAAAGACTAAATTAGCTTAAGATATCTTGATATGTATGGTTTGTAAAAAGCAGCGCACTAATAAGACAAATCTACAAACCGACTTTAATGTCCTTTCTTGAATGGTTCAGGTTTACAAATTATTTGCATGCGAATGCCAAAGTTGGCAAGATAGCTTGCAGCCAATCTGATAGGCTAAATTCTTACAATAATCGTATTTAATCGAGCAGCAGGGAATTTATGTTCATATGCTTTTAGACATCAGTTTCCCGTTCGGCAAAATAAATTATTTATATACAAAGAATATGAAAGGCTATCCGTAATTTTTTCCTTCATCTCCTCCCCCTCGATCTCGGCTTTGAGGCTCAGAAAGACCATTGCATGGGTGGTCGTATACATAGAGCATTTAAAGATCCTCCGCTTTCATCCTGGAAACCCGACACACACAGACTACCGCACAACAAGACTTAACTCCAGAAATAAATGCACAGAAACGGAAAGGCTGCCGTTCGCGAATGCTAGCGCCAAGGACGTATTTACGGATAGTTCCCAGCTCGAAGGGAGATTCGGAGAAGGGATCTACTCCCCAGGACCTGCGCACAAAGATCTCTTTCCGTCTTTTGGATCATTGTAATCTATTTCCGATTGAATCGAGAGACCTCACAACACCTCTCCTTAACCAGATAGCACTTGATGCCAACACAGATAGCTCTAAAATTTCCACTAACTGTTCACCTCATTGCAAATGAGCTGGCTAGGAAGGGAACTATCGCAATCATTCCTCCTTGCAAGGAAGCGATCGGTATGCCTCTGACCTTTTTCTGAACATAAAAATAACCACAGCACATCTAAAACGAAGAGGGATGGAGGTCCGTGCTGTTGTCGGCTCTTATGTACTTACTGTCCGGTTTCTGTAGAAGTTGCAGTTCATTGGTTCCGGGCAACCCTACCTAGGGAGAGCCCCTATCATATCTACCTAACCCAAAACGCACCTTTCGCCCCTAAGTTTCTCACCACGTCAAGAGTTTTCCATAACGAGGAGAGACACTCCGCAAGGACTACATAAAGCGGGCGTGTTCTTACGCTTTCCCGCACTTGAGTCAATAAAATTTGATTTTCATTTTATTAGCAGACATTTATTGACCTTTCCAAGACTGTACATAAGTACAGATGGCCGTGCTCCAGCCCAAGGGCGTGGCATCTTTCCTTTCACCTTGTGCAATCGCTTCTAGCTGAGTACATTAAAATCTACCCACTCACCATGCACTCTCTTTGTTGTTAATTAAGAAAACAATTATTTTAATTATGCTCAATAAATTGAGTTGCGCCAGTTGCCTTTGCAAAAGAGCACAAGAAAGCAAAATAAATTTTAAATTGCGTGGATTGACGCCAGTCGTCACAATTCCTCCTTCTCAACCTCTCCATTGCTTCTCAATGCTCTCAGGTGTCCTTGCCATTCAGATGCAAATGCGCCCGAATAGCTAGTGAGTGGTCCGTAAGTACAGTCGAGCTTCCATGGGATTTACTGAGTCCCATGAAAAAGGCATTTGAATCTCAAAAAATAAATTTCTTTAAGCAGATGTGAATCAAGGTGAATCGAAAGGCTTATTACAAGCATTATTATAAATCCCTCTGAATCGATCTTAATACCAACAACTCTTGGTTTATAACAAAATAGTTACAAAATATTGCAATAATTTAAATCGTTTGTTTGATTTCAGTTTAATGATTATGTGTCCTTGCCTTTGTCCTTTATTTTTCTAGTGCGACAAGAAAATTCTTTAAAAGTCACAAAGCATAAAATTATTCGTTGATAACACTTTAAATAAACTGATTAACATATTTATGCTATTTTTCAAAATGTAGTCTTTAATTTATTGGATAAAACGAAATAAAGTTTATAATTAAATTATGTTTCCCCAAAACAAATTTCATTAGTCACTTCAATCAAATATAATCTTAATATAATATTAACCATTGAGTGAAATAAAAGGCTATACTAGTTTTGTGCGAATGTATGTAAGACGCAGAAGGACGCGTGGCAGGCCCCATAAAGTATATATATTCTTGATCAGAGTCACAAGCCGAGTCGACATAGCCATGCCCGTCCGTCCGTCCGGACGAACGCAAGGATCTCAGAAAGTATAAAGCTTAGAATTACCAAACTAGGTATCCAGATTCTCCTTATTATAATATTTTTTTGCATTGAATATGATGACAGCATTACAAAATAAAATCGCCTTTCTTATGAGCGCGTGTATATGTATATTGTTTCTACTTTTGGTTCTTGCGAATGGACTGAAGCACAATTTTCTGTACAAATAGTTTGGTATTTTTGTCTATACGATTTTATGCAACATTTCCGGTGTTAAACCTTGTTTCAAACATCATATGGTAAATGCTGTTAGCTAATCTGGATATATGCTCCCCCTTCTTGACATTATATACAAGTACACATCTGGCTATATTATTGTATGCTACACTAAATTTATGCTGAAAACTTCGATACCATAACAAAGTGTGGGTATCAGATATGTTATAGCGATTAAGAGTCTGAGATATACGGGCACAAATTCCTGAGTCAACGAAAATTGTCTGAGTAAGCCACAATTTTTCCCCGGAGCCTTGTAAGCTTTTGCAATCAAAAAAATAAAATAAATGGGTTTTT